CCCATGCCAAGAAACATCCTGCTTGCCTCCAGGGCGCCCTGGGTTTCTTGGGTTTCGATGGTTTCGCCGTGGAGAGCGTGCGGGCCCCACGCCAAAAATAGATGGACGTCCTGAGAAGGTTTCTTGTGGACTGGCCCCCACTATATCTTGTACCATCTTTGAGACCATCTTGGGCTATCTAGAGCCGTCTTGGAGACGTGTTGGGCCGTCCTTGGACGCTCTGACCACACGCGGCCTCGTCCCGTCCAGACCCGGTGGAGGCGGTGAATGGGGGAGGGACAAGCGCCCCTTCTCGAAGAGGAAGACGTGTGTTGGAAGAGGAAGCGCCTGAAACCACATCTGCCCAGAGCACTGGTGGGATGTGACGTGCGTGCTGGAAAGGGTCCAGCTCGCGCGCTCTCTCTCGGTGATCGTCCACAGGGGCGGTTGGGACCCCTATGTGCAGGGCGTCCTCCTCCTCCTCCTCCTCCTCCTCCTCCTCCTCCTCCTCCTCCTCCTCCTCCTCCTCCTCCTCCCCCTCCCCCTCCCCCTCCCCCTCCTCCTCCCCCTCCCCCTCCCCCTCCCCCTCCCGCCCTCCTGCGGGCGCCTCGAGTCCAACAGCCGCCGAGAATCGCCGACCCCGGCCGCTCCGCATCGCCAGCCCTCGGCGCCCGCCAGCCCCGCTCGGACGGCGCCGCCGGTCGAGCTCGCGTGCCTGGTAAGTTGGGCGTCGCCAGGCCAGCATGGATTCTTGGTTGCTTGCCCCTCCCTGCAGTTCCGAGGCAGGGATTTCATGGGAGGGAAAACCACCCGGACCGGACAATTGGCGTTCACTCAACGGCCCAGGGCGTTTCCTACACAGCCCTGCCCTGCCCTGTTTGGGTGGCCACTATCGGGGTGGATTTTCTGCCCTCCCTAGGATTTCTGCACAACCACCGCCCGGGGGTATCGATCTCCGAGGGCTCCGGCAGGCGGTGAATGTGCACAGGCCCGGGGGGCGCTGGGGCTGAGAGGCGTCCACATCCACCGCCGCTGGGTGTCCAGGACGTCCGTTCCACAGGCGGCGGACGTGCTGACCCTCCAGGAGGAGGAGGAGGAGGAGGAGGAGGAGGAGGAGGAGGAGGAGGAGGAGGAGGAGGAGGAGGAGGAGGAGGGAGGAGGGAGGAGGGAGGAGGAGGGAGGAGGGAGGAGGAGGGAGGAGGGAGGAGGAGGAGGGAGGAGGGAGGAGGGAGGAGGGAGGAGGGAGGAGGAGGGAGGAGGGAGGAGGAGGGAGGAGGGAGGAGGGAGGAGGGAGGAGGAGGAGGGAGGAGGGAGGGAGGGGGAGGAGGGAGGAGGAGGAGGAGGGAGGAGGGAGGAGGAGGAGGAGGAGGAGGAGGAGGAGGAGGAGGAGGAGGAGGAGGAGGAGGAGGGAGGAGGAGGAGGAGGAGGAGGAGGAGGAGGAGGAGGAGGAGGAGGAGGAGGAGGAGGAGGAGGAGGAGGAGGAGGAGGAGAGGAGGAGGAGGAGGAGGAGGAGGAGAGGAGGAGAGGAGGAGGAGGAGGAGGGGAGGAGGAGGAGGAGGAGGAGGAGGAGGAGGAGGAGGAGGAGGAGGAGGAGGAGGAGGAGGAGGAGGAGGAGGAGGAGGAGGAGGAGGAGGAGGAGGAGGAGGAGGAGGGAGGAGGGGAGGAGGAGAAGGAGGAGGAGGAGGAGGAGGAGGAGGAGGGAGGAGGAGGAGGAGGAGGACGCGGAGGAGGAGGAGGAAGGAGGGAAGAGGTTTTTCAGGGTGTGATGGATTCTTGCTTCGATTCTCGTCCCGCCCTTCTGCGTTTCTTCGTGGTCGCGCGGCCATGGCCTCTCCCCACGGGCCGGAGCTCGACGCGCGAGGGCCTCGCCAACGCTGGAAGGCGGGCCGGCCGAGGCACCGCACCGCTTGCCAGGGTCCCTTCACTCGATCCGCTCGGTCCGATACGACATCGATTCTGGCCGATCCGGTCCGATGCGATTCCGACACTCGGGCGCTCCAGCGCGGCCCGATGCCTGCAGGGCGCTGCTGTGCAGCCTGGCGCCACCGATCCGATTCGGTTCCGGCCGCGGGCCGATGCGGCCCGAGCCGACGCGCGTCCCGATGCGGTCCGAGCTCCCGATTCCATGCCGACTGATCTTGCCACTGGCTCGCCGCCCCAGACTGGTGGGCTCGTGTTCCACCGCCACCGCCACGAGCAGGAGGGGGATGGGGGTCCTCTTCTGCCTCCTCCTCATCCTCCACCTCCTTCCCCCTCCAACTTGTGGTGGTGGTGGTGGAAGGCTCAAGCAGTGGCGAAGCGTCCTGGCTCGCCTATAGCCCTACCAAACAATCAGGGGTGGACAGAACCCCCAACAGTGACACGTCGATTAGTGAATTGTCCGTTTTTGGTTCTCGAGAGGGCGCCGCGGCCGTTATTTTCCAGGCTTGCGCCCGCCAGGCTTGGGCCTCAGGTCGTTTGGGCCATTTTACTAAAGGGAGGTCTGTCCATCCCCGAAACAATGTTCTAAGAACCTTTCGTGGTTTGCACGATATGTTCTTAGAACATTTCTGGCTGGGACCGTCTTGGTTTAACACATCGGGTTTATGTTCTAAAAAACACTGTTTTGATGATTAGAACATCTTCGGGTTCTAAGAACACTTCGTGGTAGGACTACAGGAATGCCGGGACGGTCGGCCCCTGCTCGAAGAACAGGCCCACCACAGACCACCCCTCCCCCGCGTCCACTGCTGGGCCCCATCGACCCGAGGGCCCGCAGGTGGAGTCAGGGGCGCCATCCCAGAGCTCCGGCGCCGCGCTCCTTCCACAGTGGAGGAGGAGGAGGAGGAGGAGGAGGAGGAGGAGGAGGAGGAGGAGGAGGAGTAGGAGGAGGAGGAGGAGGAGAAGGAGGAGGAGGAGGAGGATGAGGCGGAGGAGGAAGAGGCGGAGGAGGAGGCGGAGGCGGAGGCGGAGGAGGAGGAGGAGGAGGCGGAGGAGGAGAAGGAGGAGGAGGTAACAGGAGGCGGAGGAGGGAGGAGGAGGAGGTGGGGGAGGAGGAGGAGGAGGAGGAGGAGGAGGAGGAGGAGGAGGAGGAGGAGGAGGAGGAGGAGGGACCCCCCCGAGGGGGTAAATGTTTATGCTGTTCCAACCTACTTCAGCCTTGAACAACAGACAGAATCTCGAGCACCAAGAACGTACCGGAACTTCTGCATGTTCAAGTGTCGGGCCCTGGGAGGCGACTTCGTTCGACACTGTTTCGACACTTTCCTGGGTGCTCGAAATTATTTCTGGGGTGTGGTCCTTTAGTACGCTGGGAGCAACACAAGTCTGGACTTACGTCGGGCACGTCCCTCTGCAGGAGGAAAGTTCAAAAATAGCTAAAAGCAGTATGGGACGTTTTCTTTTCTGGTATTGTTGGCTACGTTTGAATATTTGTGTGACGAATTTATTCTTTCGACTAGAGTCCGCCTGCAGGTGGACATGCCCGACCTAAGTCTCTGGACCAGGGTGGAATGACAATCATCGAAGAAGAGCAAACGTTGTCGAGATCCAAATAACCCCTAACCGTAATAACACGATGAAGCACGTCGCCTCACTCAGGTCCCCGTCTTTGAATTTGGGATAACAGATCTGGGCGGTTGGGTCTGACGCATCTGCAGAAGGACCCCCTCTTCCTGATGTTGCTGGCCCTCCGAACTTTCGTCCCCTCCCGAAAGGGTCAGGGGTATTTGCAGTGCTGATCAGAACTGCATGCGCAAACTGCATAAACGCAAACTTTTGGCGCCCCGCGCGGATTTCTCGCATCGGCGCTCGGGCGCCTCTGGCGGTGCCTTCGGCGCCGCCCGTGGCGCGCTCCGCGCGCCAGCGGAGAGGAGATCCAGCGCAGATCCAAGAAGCCCGCAGTGACCTCCAAGCATTGTTCTTTCTCCCGTCTCTCTTCCTCCGAATCTGATGGATGTGTTTGTCCAGGAGCGCTCTGGCCCTCCCCTCTCCTGGCAGGGCCCGTTTCGCGTCAGAGTGCTGCAGCGACGAGCGAATCGAGGAAGCATGTGAGGGAAGCGGCCAGAGAGACACACCGGAGCGATCTGTGCCATGCTGCGGCCTGCGCGGCGTGAACAATCTCCCACTCAGTTTGGGACGATCCCCGAGGGTTCTTGTCTGAGCCCGCTCGATGCCTGAAGTTTTATGTTCATGCCACTGCTTTTGCCCCCCCAGGTGCTGCCGTCGACCCGGCAGACCCGCGCCGCCCCCGCTCCTTCGGGAGGGGGGACGGCGTGGGGGCAGACGGCACGCCGACACCACGCCGTGCGGTGGGCCAGCTGGCGGAGGAGCGAGAGGTCCTGACAGTGATGCGTTCCAAGATGTCCAGGGCTTCCAGGATTTCCCAGATGTCCTGACGTCGCGATGTTCCAACCCGCTTCAGCCCTGATCACCAGAAATGATTTCGAGCACCAAGGAAGTACCGAACCTGTATGGTGTTCACGTCTCAGGCGCTGGGAGGCGATACTCGTTCGACGCTGTTTCGATATCTTTGCGGGTGAACGAAATTATTTCTGGGATGTGGTCCATCGGCAGGATGAGAGCAACATGACCCTAACGTTCCGCAGGTCTGCACTCCTTGGAAATCTTGGACCGCATCTTGACCCGATCCCAGCATGACATCACGAGCGCCCTAGGTGGGGATTCGGGGTGACCGCGCGGTCCTGGGATTTGGGCCGTCCTCCGAGGCCGTCCCGGGCGCATGGGGCCTCCGAGGATCGGCAGCCTTGAGGCGGGGATCCGTGCAGCCGGGGGGCCGCCAGAGCGCCCGATCCTGCAGCATCCTGCAGCATCCAGGGTTCGCATGGGCCCGGGCCCGGGTGCAGGACCCTGCAGGATATCCTCCGCACGGACCCGGGCTTGGGCGCAGGATCCCGCAGGATCTTGCAGGATTCTGCAGGGCCTGACGGACCCGGGTCTGGATTGACCCGGGTCAGGAGATCCCCGAGGGGTCCCAGAGCCGCGCGGGCCACGGAGCGTGCAGCGATGTCTTCGGGGCCTCCAGGGACACTGCGTGCGGATGGCCACCGCACCGCTTCTTCTTCGGCACTGGCTCGGGCATCGTGCACGTTGCTCAGCGAGGTCCGCGCCAAAACGTCCGGTCCATCTTGGAGCATCTCGGACCAGCATGAGGAAAGAAGACGTATTGAAGCCGAACAGTGCGCAGAGAATGGACGCCTGAGCGATGGCAAGTTTCGGGACCCTGCAAGTACTCGGCCACGCGCAGAGGGGGGTGGGGGGAGGGGGGAAGCCTTTTTAGAAACACCCCTGCTTCTTAGAAGGTGCGGGCCTCGTCTAAAGATGTAAGGCCGGCGCCTTCTAAGAAGCAGCCTCCTTCTAAGAAACCCTACCCCCTCCCCCTACCCCCTTGTGCGCGCCGCCAAAACACGGCCCTTCGCGGGAGGGCACCGGCACCACGTCCGTGAACGCTGCGGACGGCTTGCTCACGGTGGTGTGCGAGGATGCGGCGGCGCTCGGCTGCTTCGCTGCTGAAGACGGGAGGAGGGTCGAGCTCGACCCGGCGACCACTTACGAACCATTCTCTACGGCGCGCTGAGGGAAGTGAGGGGGCCGGCTTTCTCAGATTGAAGAAGGAAAAACTTTGGCGCTCCGTACGGATTTCTTGGATCCGTTGTTTTCTTCTGTCAAAAGGCGGTGGGATTCTCAGAAGCCCTCGGGCCCTCGAGAAGCCCTGCGCGGCTTCAGGGACGGCTCGGGTTATGATGTTCCAACCTGCTTTAGCCTTGACTACCAGAAAGAATTTGGAGCATCAGGAAAGTAGCTGTATGGTTTTCACGTGTCGGGCCCTGGGAGACACTCGTCCGACACTGTTTCGACACTCTCTCGATACTATTTCGACACTTTTCCGGGTGCTCGAAATTACTTTGGGGATGTGGTCCTTAAGTGCGATGGGAGCAACATGAGGCTCGGGAAGCTCCTCGGGAGGCCGAAGAGGCCTTCCTTGCCCTGCGGAGTAGGCTCGCCCTCGCTGCCCTCCGCCCTGGGCGCGTCGCGGAGAACCCTCTAGCGCGGCATGGTCGAGGGAACGGCAGGGACCAGGGCCAAGACCAACAGCAGTCCCGTTCCAAGTCTGATCAGATTTCCAGGAGGCCGCGTGCGAACCCTGCCACCCCACGATTTCTGGAGGTGGAGGTGGGGTTCACTGCTCTCGGGAGATCCCGAACGAAGTGAATCCCACCTCCCCCCTTAGAAATCGTGGGGTGGTGGGGTTGGCGCCGCATGTGGCCGTCTAGCTTTGTTGACGGCATCCCCGCGGACGTTGTCCACTCGAGACTGGCTCGGCGACCAGTTGCTCGACCCGACCCGGCGCCTACTTGCTCTGACTTGCCCGGAGGAGGGCCAGCCGAGACAACAGCGGCATTCTTTGGCGTTTCTCGTTTTTGTTGGAGGGGCCTCCTGAATCGAAGGAGGAAAAACGCCATGAGCCCAAATTTTTGGCGCTCCGCGCGGATTTCTTGGATCCGCGCTGGGCCCCCCGGCGGCGCCTCCCGCTCCGCGCGGAGCACCAGAAGTTTATGTTTGTGCCGTTTTTGTTGTCTCCTACACGCCCGTCGTTGAAAGTAGGTATTTTGGATTCCCAGATCCCAATCTACTTCAAGCGCCCTCCTACTTCAAGAATCGGCACGCTTTTGTTGTGTGCTGTTATTCCCTGGGGGGGCCTGGACCCAATCAACTTAATCCGCCTTCATATTTCATGTTTTTACCTACTTCTTCCGACCGACGGGTACTGAAGGCCTCTCGTCGCCACGGCCGGATCCGCGTCGAGCAGCGGGTCGAGATGGAACCCGAGAGGGGTCTGGGAACGAGTCGGAAGCCTGAGCGCATGTGGGCCGGGCGGGAGAGCCGCCACTGCACCTACTGGCCATGCTCCGAGTTGCGCACCCTGCCGCTGCGGGTCCACTCAGAGCGTGGGGTAGACAGTCAACCCGCATAGTGCCTTTGTCCACTTTTCGTCCAGGAGGAGGAGGAGGACGAGGAGGAGGAGGAGGAGGACGAGGAGCAGGAGCAGGAGCAGGAGCAGCACGCCAACTGCACGCCTGCACCGACCCTGGCCGTTAAGTCGGGCCTGTCCCTCTACAGGGGTAATATTTAAAAATAGAAAAAATAGTATGAGGGCTTTGTGTTGCGTACTTTTGGGCATCTTTTGAGTATTTTTCAATTTTCTTCATTTTTCGTCCAAGATCCCCCTGTTAGGGGACACACCCGACTTAATCCTATTGGCCATGCTCCGATTTGCGCACCCTGCTGCTACGGGTTCACTCGGAGCTGGGGTATACAGTCAACCCGCATAGTACCCTTGCATCCTTCCATCCTTGGCCACTTTCGTTGGCCGCGCCCCGCTCGAAAAGCTTCGAAATGGCCTTCCAAGGCCCCTGCATCCTCATCGCGCGTCAGTATACGGGTTGCCTCTATATCGGACATCTCTGTTGGGGTCCACCTGTCTGCAGACGCCCTTCAAGTTCTGAGCTCTCGCCGGCGTTTCAGAAATCTGGCCTGCAGTTGCGGGTGTTCGCATGTGGTTGCTGATCGACGCTCTGCCTTCGGTATTTCCCGGTACTCCTTCGTCATCGTTGTCATCGCCGTCGTCGTTGATTGTCGTTATGGTCGTGTTCGTCATCGCCCCCGTCGCCGTCGTCGTCACCGCCGTTGCTTTCTCCGTCATCGCCGTCGTCGTTTTCGCCGTCGCCATCGTCGTCGCCATCGCCATTGCTATCATGATCACGGTCATGGCGTCCGAAAGTTGCACTCTTCGGCAGAAAATTAGCGCAAACCGAATGCACCATTCACCCCTGTCTGACTCAGGCAGGGGGGATAACTACTCTGCGTTCAACTGAGTGGGGCATCCGCTGGGCGTCGCCGTCGTCGCGGTCGCGGGCGTCGCTGTCGCGGTCGTCGTTGTTGTTATCGTCGACGCCGTGGTCGTCTTGGTGATCGCTGTCGCCGTCGTTTCAGTCGATTAGTCACGCGTGGACGCGCTTCAGCGTTCCTCGCGAAACCGACAAATGTCCAACCCCCCTGGACTCAAACGCCCATTGACTGGGGGCATACGCAACGCAATCCGCAGTGTCGAGCGCGACCGGTGACGTGGCGGGTGCAGGGACCAGGGAGCGCCAATCAGCGCCGCGCCGTCGCAGTCATCGTCCTGGCCGTCGCCGGCGTCCCGCGGCGGCGGCGCCGGATTCGTCGTGGTGGTCGTCGTCGTCGTAGCAGGGCTGTCGTCTCTCCCTGAGGGCCGCACTACTTCTCGCCAGTCGACTCGTGGGGATCAGGCTGGACAAACCAGGGCAGATATGCAGAAACATCGAGGCACATCCAGGCAAAGCCAGGCACATCCCGAGATCTCCAGGGGAATGTGGAGCAACTCGTGGCCGCCCCAGCGCGAGTCGAGGGACGGCAGAGGACGTGGAGCTTCAGTCGTGCCTACCCCTCTACAGGAGGGATACTCAAACATGGTATAACAAAAATAGTCTGGGGACGATTTGGTTTTAGCATTTTTGAATATTTTGGGGTATGTTTTTGAGTTTCTTGTTTTCGCTCAACATCCGCCTGTACAGTGCCGTTTTGTTATACATGCTCCGCGTGCGGATCATGTATTAAAAATGCAGGGATTTAGCATTTAAAACAACGATGAGTTCATGCATAAATTTATTCATGAATTAGTCATGCATTAAAATCTTATATCTTTAAAAATCCCATGTGTTAAAGACTGCCCTGTATGGGGGACATGCCCGACCTACGAGCTCCGCGGCGGCGGCGCCGCGCCCCCAGGACGGCGCCCGCTTCGCGCTGCCCGAGCGCGACTGCGTGCTGCTGCCCGCGGCGGCCGCGGGCTCCGGGGCGGCGGCCGCCGCCGCCGTGGCCGAGCGGATTCTGGACGCCGTGGCGTCAAGTCAGGCCTGTCCCTCTGCAGGAGGTATACTCAAAAGTAGTCCAACAATAATATGAGAACGATGTTTTACCATTCCACTAATCTTGAGTGTTGTTAAGTCTGTTCTGATTTCTTTTATTTTTCGTCCAAAATTCGCCTGTAGGGGGACATGCCCGTCCTAACCGTGGCGCCGTCGCCGCCGTCGGCGGGGAAAAGGTCAGAAGGGGGACAATCGAGTAGGAGATCGACCACAGAGACTTGATGTACCCCGAACTTGGTTTCCTCGTCGAATCCACGAGAAGGGTACGTAGAATGTTCGTAGATCCCCGAAGCTTCTACATGATTTTCGTCGGTTCGGCGAGAATTCCAGTTTTGGGGTATATCAATTCTGTAGTTGATCTCCTACTCGAGAAAAGGTATTGGTGCCGCTACCCTTGCTTTGATTTCGCCTTTCTTGGCCTCTTGGGAGGCCCTCGTCGTCACGGCTGGATCCGCCTCACAATTCCGGTCAGAACGCACCCCAGGAGAGGTCAGGGGACTAGTAGTGGTATCGGTACCTCTTCGTTGCCCGGAGGAGAGGAGTTAGAGAGTGTTTTTGTTATGTTATGGTTCGATAGCAGGTGTTGCCGGGGGGAGGGGAGGAGTGAGGGTGAGGGGACCGGTAGCATCACGTTTTGCGCCGGCGCCGTCTGGGAATGTTTAGAATCAACAAAGGCAATTCGAAGGTCAGCACGAGTCGCAACGTTACCCGTGGGGTCGGGTGGGGGGCGCCGGGCCCAGTCACGGCCGCTATCGCGAACAGTCGAACAAATCTCTCTTGGCCCCCCTCATGGGGTTCGAGTCGACGGGATCGAAGAGTCATCGCCGATGCATCGATGACGCTGCTCGATGTGAATCTCGGTTTGCTTCACGTCGGCGTCGTCAATGCATCGTCGACGTCGGCGGTGCATCTCTGATGCATCGCCGATGCATTGCCGATGTATCGTCGATGCGCCACGATGTTCCGCCACGATCTACTCGGGCCCCATTTAGGATGTCTCGAATCTTCGGGAGACCGCACCTGTCCTCAAACTTGCCTTCTTTTCTTGTGCCCGACGGGGGCTCGATGCGGACTCGGCGCACACTCGGCGTGGACTCGATGCGGACCGGACGTGTGTTCGACACGGGTGCGGTTCGACGAGTCCGACGTGGATCCGACGCGGGTTCGACGGCGGTTCCGTCGCCACCTCCAGGGGCCAAGACTGTTGAATTCGTTTTCAGCGTTCTCGCCTCCTATGGACTCGGGGGGCCCCGACGGCCCACGCAGCCTCCCAGACAGCCTCAAGACAGCCCAGGATGCCCCCCTCCAAGAGCCCCAAGACGGCCCAGGGGGGGCCCAGTATGGCCCAAAGAGGCGCCCAAGACTGTCCAAGAGGCCCTCGAGACGGCCCAAGAAGACCCCGAGAGAACCCCGAGGTGGCTTCGAGAGTGCCCTGAGACGGCCTCCGAAGGGGAAACGGGGAGACGGAGGCGCGGTGGAGCAGGGGGGGGAATGTTAATTATCGAAAGCTTGGGTTGACGGAGGATCTCGGGAGTTGTCGGAAGTCTCTTGGAGTTTTCGAAGTTCGCGGTGGTCTGCATCAGTTGCGTTTCGTCGAGGACTTTCCAGGGGTGCCAGAATTGTCCCGAGCGGCTGCCAGAGTGTGGCGCGAAAACCGGACGACGAGGATTACCAGGGGTGATTGGTTAAGTCGAGCGTGTCTTTCTGCTCTACAGGAGGAATCTACAAACATAACACGTTTTTTTTTCTGAGGAATGTGTTCAATCCTTTTTGAGTATTTTGGGGGTATGTTTTATTGTTCCTCTTCCTTCAAAACCTTCCTGTAGGGGGGCATGCCCGACCTGATGATAGGCGCAGGGGTCGGCGGCAAGCAGCACGGGGAGCAGCAGGAGCACGGGCAGCTGGAGCCGAGGCGGTTCTTCCCCGATGGCCAGAGCCCGGAACAAACAAAAAAATGCACTCGGAGTCGGGGGCGTCCAGGGCGAGGGTTGGGGATTATCAGAGGAGGAAAGGTACCCATACCTCTACCCCTCCCCTCGTTTTCCCATGTTTCGGGCATCCTGGGAGGCCCTCGTGGTCACAACGCACCCCGGGAGAGGTCCGGGGAGTAGCGGTATCGGTACCTTTTGGTTTCACCAGATTAGGGTGCGGGGGATGTCATGGCGGGGGCCTCCGCCTTCTTCGGCGCACCCGGCGGGGGAAACCGTGGAGGAGGAGGAGGAGGAGGAGGAGGAGGAGGAGGAGGAGGAGGAGGAGGAGGAAGGGAAGGGAAGGGAAGGGAAGGGAAGGGAAGGGAAGGGAAGGGAAGGGAAGGGAAGGCGGCGTCGGACTCGGCGTCGGTCTGTCGGCGTGTTGTCTCGAAGGCCCACTCGGGGCCAACAAGCACGCGCCCCATGCGGCCAGAAGGAGAGAGAGAGAGAGAAACAACAAAGAAACTAATACAAAGAAAGGGAGCCGGCGGCGATCCGATGGGAGAAGTGGGAAGGGACGGGTCTTCTCAGAAGGTTCGTAAGTCCCACGGCTTTCTGAGGAGTTTTCGGAGCCTTCCCCGAAGACAGAACACGTGTTCAGAATGTGGCAGGGGCTTCTGGGGCTTCTGGGAAGTCCCGCCGACTTCTGAGAGGGCCTTCTCCTTCTTACTTCCCCCTCTCGCTCGCCGCCGAGAGAGAGGGAGAAGCATAAAGGAACAAAGAAAGACAGGAAGAGAGAGAGAGAGAGAACACAACAACAACAATCTATACATACATAAAGACAGGAAGAGAAAGAGAGAGAGAGAGACCAGGACACCATAATCATATATATATATATATATACATATATATACATAAGTAACGACGTAAAGCGATATATATATATATAACCGAAAAACGATAGAGAGAAAGAGCGCGAGGCCGACGGCGAAGGTTCGCTCCGCCGAGCGTGCGCGGCCGCCCAACACCCGCGCGCTCGTGGGCGAGGAGGGAGGAGGAGAGGGGAGTCGAGGAGGAAAGGGGGAGGAGGTGAGGAGGGAGGAGGGAGGAGGGAGGAGGGAGGGGGGAGGGGGAAGGGGGGAGGGGGGAGGGGCAAGCTAGGTGCGCTCGCGTCATATCTGATATCCTACCCATCCCTCCCATCCCTTACCATGGCGCAGATCCCCTCTCTACTCGCTCAGTCGGATGTCGAGCAGGGCAATGATCCCGAAAGGGTACGCGATGCATTGTAGAGCACGACATGGCATGGCGTGGAAGAGCACCGCAAAGCGTAGTATCAACCTAGCTTTGCATTGCATGCCGTGGCATGGCACGGGAAATGACGCCAGCGCTGCAGCGGGAGCACGAGTCGAAACGAGCGGAAGCGCGGAAATGAGGCCAGCGCTGCAGCGGGAGCACGATTCGGAACGAGCGGAAGCACGGAAATGAGGCCAGCGCTGCAGCGGGAGCACGATTCGGAACGAGCGGGGCCCGAAAATGAGGCCGGCGCCTCAGCGAGAGCAGCATTTTGAAAACAAATGCAGGCGAAAACCCAACTCCGGGGAAACCTGTGTGTAAAAAACAGTACGCGGGGGGGGGGGTCGGCCACTTTCAAACCGTCATCAGGGGAAGAGGGAGAGTAGTATTCATATTGAGTAGTTGTGGGAGGGGAGGGGGGAGGGAGGCATGGAGTGAGGGGGGGGAGGGAGGGAGGAGGGAGGGAGGGAGGGAAGGGGGGAGGGGGAGGAGGAGCAGGGGGCAGGGAGGCGCGACCCGCGTCCTCCCCCTCCCCCTCCCCCTCCCCCTCCCCCTCCCCCCTCCTCCTCCTCCGCCTCCTCCTCCGCCTCCTCTTCCTCCGCCTCCTCCTCCTCCCTCCTCCTCCTCCGCCTCCTCCTCCTCCCCTCCTCCTTCCTCCTCCCGCTCCTTCTCCTCCTCCTCCTCCTCCTCCTCCTCCTCCTCCCCCCAAGGAGTGCCTGGTGTCCGGCGCCGCCGGTGCCCTCGGCCCCGGGGCGGCCCAGTGGCTCGAGGTGCCCTGTCGCCCCCGCCGGAGTCGCTGTGCGCCTGCGCCCCGCCACGCGCGCGTGCGGCGGGGCTCTCTAGCGCGCTGCTTCGAGGTGCTGGATCCCGCGGTCGGCTACAGTGGAGACCGTAGTGGGCCCCGGAGACGGCAGGGCCGTTTTTCACCGTTTCCGAGAAGTGTCCCTTGAAAATGGAAACGGCAAGAAAACAGATACCGGAAACGGCAACAAAGACGGCTTCAGGATTGGAACCGGAGCAGGAACCCCAGAACGGCGACGGAACCGGTTAAACAACGGCGTCGGAATTTGCAATAAAACGGCAAAACGGAACCGCTAAAAAACGGCCTTGTCGTTTCCAGGGCCCACTAAGGTGAAGATCCATGTCAAGAGACACCGATGCATCGCCGATGCATCGGCGACGTCGTGCTTCCCGGACCCCATTTTGGGGCGGCCCGCATTCTAGCTGGACCCCTGGGCGCGCCAGCCAGATGCTGCTGCTGCGCAGCGCCTCGAGTCGTCCCCCCGATCCCGCGGTCGGACTCTGTGGCGCCCGAATGCGGCCGCGCGCCCGCGCCTAGCCGGTGCCGATCGCATCGCCGGCGTCGGTACAGTGGAGGCCCGAGGCCGATGCCAAGAAACACCCTGCTTGCCTCCAGGGTGCCCTGGATTTCTTGGGTTTCGAAGGTTTTGCCGTGGAAAGCGTGGCGTTCCCACACTCGAATCTTGGGGTGCTAGGGTTGTGCTTCTCGTGGAAGGTTTCTTGTGGACTGGCCTCGGAGAGGCATCAAAGAAAAACAAAACGCCACAAACAGAAACTTCTCCGCGCAGATTTCTTAGATCCGCGCTGGGCCCCCCTGCTTCTTAGAAGGCGCAGGCCTCTTCTATAGATGTAAGGCCAGCGCCTTCTAAGAAGCAGCCTCCTTCTGAGAAGCCCTCCCCCCTCCCCCTACCCCCCTGTGCGAGCCGCCACTCTCGCGCGCGCTGCCTCGGGGAAGCATCGAAGAAGAAAAAGCGCCGTAAACATATGCACTTGTGGCGCTCCGCGCGGATTTCGTGGCTCCGCGCTGGACCCCCCTCCCTGGCGCGCGCCAGGGAGGGGGGTCCAGGGAGGGGGGTCCAGCGAGGATCCAAGAAACCCGCGCGGAGCCCACAAGTTTCTGTTTATGATGTGTCTTGTCTTCTGAAGAAACTGCTTGGTCTGCGGCGAGCTGGATCCCGCGGTCGGCTAGCGGCGGGGCGCGTCGGAAGCGAAGTGCGCACACCACAGCGGGAAGGCAGGATCCTAGGGGGGCGCTGCGGCCGGAGAGGTGCCAGAGTCAGGCTCGAGTGCTCGCCGCTGTCAGTGCGTGCGCAGATGCGTCGCAAATCTTAAGGTTAAGTCGGGCTTGTCCCTCCACAGGAAGAATATTCAAAAGTAGTCACAAATAGTCTGGGAACGTTTTTTTGGGGGGGGGGCAATTTGTAAATAGCTTTGAGTATTGTTTGAATATTTGATTTTCTTTTAACATCCGCCTTTAGGGGGACATGCCCGATCTAAGGGTAAGGATCGAAGGATAAGCATGTGTACACGCATAAACGCTCGGGAAGCAGCCCTTGGTTGGGAGGGGGTGTCCGTACGTTCTTCGTGACTGGGCTGTCCACCCAGGAATGTTTTTCGTTTGGGGTATCTCGATGGAGCCTTGTGCATTCGACGAAGTGGCTCGTTTCGGATTCAACTCCTGGGAGGTCAAACTCTGATTTTGCCCTGGTTCGAAATCGGGTTGCTTCCGCTTTAATCCTTGCGAATCCCGTTTAATCCCGCTTAATCCGGCTCAATCTGGTTGAATCCCGTTCCAGCGTAACAGCCCCCCAAAGGGGCTGAATCCTCTTTAGGTTTTCCGACGAAGACCTTCCGGCAGTTGCCTCCTAAGTTAGTGGTTTTGACCCGCGTCTTTCTTGGGGAAACCAAAAGGTACCGATACCGCTACTCCCCGGACCTCTCCCGGGTGCGTTCTGATCAGGGCTTCGAGGCGGATCCGGCGGTGGCGACGAGGGCCTCCCAGGAGGCCCAACAAGGGGAAAACGGGCGAAGGGTAGAGGTATGGGTGCCTTTTCCTCCTCTGACTCGTGGCCCTGTTCTGGCCGCGCTCGCGCGCTCCTGCCACCAGGGCGGACCCACGTCGATCGCCGGCGCAGGCCCGCCCGGCGGAGGACCGCTCCAGGAGGGCCCGGAGGGCGCACCTTCCGCGACGCCGGCCACGCGGAAGCAGGCCCGCCTCCTCTGCTCGGCGCCTGCGCGCCTCCGGCGGAGGGGGCGCGGAGCAGCGGCTCACCACCCACCAAACCGCCCCAACCCAACCCGAATCGGAAGCCGGGCAAGGGCTGCGAAATCCGTGGCTGCTAAAATCGACCTCCGGGGAGTTGTCTTCGTCCTTCCGGGAAGAAGCCAGTTGACTGTTTCGCGTGCCGCGCCTCATTCCGGGAAGTTGTTTTTTCATTCCGGGAGGGCCGTTTTAGCAGCCACTGTTTTTGCAGCCCTCGCCCAGCTTCCCACCGAAGGCCTCAAGTTGCCCTCCATTTCCAGTCGGGGGGGGGGTCGGGGGAACACTGAAAAAAACATATGGAACCCGTACCCCCCGAACACGAAATTCGGGTCAAACTCGGGCCTTCGGGTTGGGTTGGGGTGGTCTGCAGTAGGTAGTCGGTGGCAGCACGAGGCAAACCTAGGAAGGGCGGCGCCTTACCACCAGGGTTAAGTCGGGCGTGTCCCCCTACACGGGGATTTTCTACGAAAAATTAAGAATACCCAACAAATACACTAAAAATAGTAAAAAAATACTCCCAAAATCGTCTGGGGACTATTTTTTGAGTAGGTTTTTGCTTTTTTGGTGTATTTTTTGAATATTTTTTGTTTTTCGTCGAAAATCCCTCTGTAGGGGGACACGCCCGACAGAACACCAGGGCACAGGCCACGAGCGGGGGGCAGGGGCGCGTGTCCGTGCACCGCGGCCGGGCGCGGGCGTTCCTCTCTTGTTGGGGGGCTCCGTGCCCGCCGCCCGTCTCCCCCCCCCTTGTCCCCGGTCTTCCGTCGGGCATGGCTGTTGAAGAGTAGTGAAGCATGGTCTTCTCGGGGGCGGCCAAGAGGGGGGTGATGACTAGGGGGGGGTGGATATCATGGCGCGGGCCATGATTTTTCCTCTGATTTCATGGCGCCTCTTCTTATTTCATTGCGTCCCTGGCTCCCCCGCTGGGCCGCGCACATGCCGCCGGCCATGATTTGCACCCCCCCCTCTTGGACGTCCCCCTCTTGGCCGCTCCCGAGTCAAGAATGGTCTTCAGAGGAGGAAGAGGTACTGAGACCGCTACCCTTCGCCCGTTTTCCCCTTTTTCGGCCTCATCGGAGGCTCTCGTTGTCACCGCTGGAGTCGCCTCGAAATCCTAGTCAGAACGCACCCCGGGAGAGGTCCGGGGAGTAGCGGTATCCGTACTTTTTGGTTTCCCCAAGTTTGGGAACGATGTTCCTAGCATTTTCGGCCTATGTTTGAGCATGTTTTGGGTATTTCTGATGTTTCGTCCAGCATCCGCCTTCATGGGGACGTGCCCGACCTGACCCTGGTCTTCTCGCCCTCTCGTCCTCTCTCCTCCGTCCAAGAGGTCTTCGTCAGCTCTGACACTGTTACCAGCTCCAGAGGTCTGCGTCGTTGTCCTTTCTCCTCTTTCCCCTCTCTCTCTCTCTCTTTCTCACTCCTCCTGTCCTCCCTCTCTTTCGAAACCATTATATTTGTACACATGGGTTTGTCTGTATGTGTGTGTGACTCTCTCTGTCTTCCCCTATATCATGCACTCTCTCTGCCTATGTGTCTGTCGGTCTCTCTCTCTCTCTCTTTCGTTCTTTATTTGTTTCTCTCTCTCTCTCATGATTTCTCCTCCCTTTATCTCCCTCCGTTCGTCTCTCACCATCCCTCCCATCCCTTCCCTGGCGCCCTCCCTGCAGGCCACGAGGAATAAGGTTGCAGGCAGCTCTCCTCGCATGTTTCTCCTCCCTCCCCTCCCAACCTCACTCCTTCCTCCCCTTCCTCAGCTCTCGTCGCGCTCGTTCGCTCGCGCGCCTCTCATGCCTGTTTGGGCGTAGTGATAGGCGCGAGGGCCAGAGTCGGGGGGAGGGAATGAGAATCGTGAGGCTGAGGGGGCGGTGGAGTACAGGGATATTTTTGGGCAGAGGGGAGCAGGAGATGGTGGGGGTGGGGGGGGGTGGGGGTGGGGGGGGGCAGGAGAAGGGGAATCGGGGAGACTGCAGGGGAGGGAGGGAGGGATTGGAGATGGGAGGAGAGGGGAAGGGGGGAGGCAGGTGAGGGAGGGAGGGAGGGAGGAGGGACCCGAGGAGAAGGGGTGGCGGGGAGGGGGAGGGGGGAAGAGGGGATAAATGGGGGAGGAGGTAAGAGGACGAAGAGGGGGATGCGAAGTGAATGCTGTTGGGGGGATGCTGGGCAACAGCAGCAGGAGGGGCAACAGACAGCAGCGACCGTGGTTGCGGCATCGGCAGCAACAGGCACAGGACGCCGACGGTGATCACGAGGACGATGAAAAAGCGACGGAGGGATACCAGGAGGATGAGCAGGATGAGGCGGAAGGGAGTGAGGTGTCTCAAGTGTGGCGATATCGTGGGCACTCGACCTCGGCGCTAATCTGATCGCTTCTCGCGGTGGCTTGGGTGGGGACTGGGTGTTCGCCGTTCGCGCCGACCCGCACGGTGGCCATTTCTAGAGACTCCGTCGCCAGCCGTTTCGATGCGTGTGAGTCCTATCCGGCGCCCCGCCCTGCCTCTTCCTGCTCGGCCTCGAGCTCGGGCCTCTCCCCCCCCTCTCGGCCGTTCCCTCGCCGTCGCCGCGCGCCGCAGAGCGAGGCTCAAGCGGCGAGACGTTGCCTGCACGCCCCACGCCTCCGAGCCACTCGCCCAAGGTGCGCGCCCGACGGCGGCCCTGGGCGTGCCTCCCCCCCCACCTCCGGGTGCTCCTCTCCGCGCGCGGCGGGGCGGCGCCCCCCGTCGCGCAGGCACGAACCCTCAGACCTCGGAGCGTCCGCCGACTCACGCGCGCGCGCATGGGCACGCGTGCGTGCGCGCGCGTGGATCCGCCTCCCGGTGCTCGCCCTTCCGCACCGCCCCAAAAAAACACCCCACGCCAACCCGAAGGCCCCGACCTGCATCGGGACCAGGAGATTGTGCATTCGTCTTGTGGCGCGTACAGTGGGGGGCCATGCCAAGAAAAACCTGCTTGCCTCCTGGGTTTCTCGGGTTTCGATGGTTTTGCGATTGAAAGCATAACGTTCCCACACCAAAAATCCTTGGACGTCCTGGGATATCAGGGTAGGGTTTCTTGTGGAGGGTTTCTTGTGGACTGGCCTCCACTGTAAACTCCCCCCCCCCTGGTGATGGTAGCGATCGTGCGTGGGGGCGGTGCCTGGCCCCCACCCCCTTCATGCTGGTGCTCGCGCGCACATTACACACCGGTCGTTGAAAGTAGGTATTCTTGGATACCCAGATCCCAATTTTACATCAAGCACCTTCCTACTTCGACAGTCGATCTGCTTGTGCTGTGCTTGTTTTTCTCTGACAAGGCCTGATACCAATCTACTTCATCCGCCTTCCTGCTTCATGTTTTCACCTACTTCTTCCGACCGATGTGTACGGCGATCGCAGCGCACCGCCGGCCCGAGGTGCACCACCCCGCACAAGCAGCACCTTCATCCGGAGTCCCAATTCCCCCACCCCGGTAACGACCCTTCTCGGGAAATGACCGAGAATAGTCTCCAGTGTGCTGGCGTGTGCCCCCTGCTGGCCGACCGCCGGGGACTGCCTCCGCGGCCCTGGCCGATGCCTCGGTCATGCGGCGCGAGGGGCCTGTGAGTGCGGTGCGCAAGTCTCTGGAAAGACGTTGATGGACTCCGTCTTGCCGTCGCCGATGCACCACCGATGTGGTCCGACCCCTCCGTCCCCATATGCTCGGGCCCCAGCACAGGGCACCGAGCGCGGTCCACTACTCGCAAGGGTGCCTGCTCGCAAACGTCCGATTCACACATGTGCGCCTCGACGTAATGGGTAGTAGATCCAACCCTGGCCATCTGCGCGTAGTCACTCTGCGAGTAGTGTTACGTCGGGCCTGTCCCTCTAGAGGAGAAATATTAAAAAATGGTCAAAACACAGTCTGGGGACTACTTTGGCTATTCTATTTTCTGACCATGTTTGAGCACTTCTGGATTATAATTAATATTTCCTCGAAGATCGGCCTGTAGGGAGAGCAGTGGAACGCGCTCGTCTGATATCAGGAGGGGAGAAACACACACACAGACACAATTAATCGGCGATTCCCAGAAAAGTATGCGAACATATGGGAAGTGGGGCGGAAGACGAAAACCCCAAAAATATAGGAACATACCGGGAGTCCTGTTGTTTATGTGTAATAGATCGATAGATCGATATATATATATATATATATAGAGAGAGAGAGAGAGAGAGAGATAGATAGATAGATAGATCGATCGATAGATAGATAGATAGATATACACACATATGTGTGTGTGTGTGTGTCCCAGGGCCCCTTCATAATAGGGGGGGGGCTGCTGGGGATGCGCAGGTCGGAGCCAGTCGGCCCCCCGAAAAGCAGTGCGGGGGCGCACCTCGCGTCGAGGCATTGTGGAGGCAGCGGGGACCTGCGGCGACCGGGTTTTTTTGGGGGGACTGGGGTCGCTCTCCGAAGACTGATAAGTTTAAGTCGGGCATGTCCCTCTACAGTTAAATCGGGCCTGTCCCTCTGCAGGGGGAATATTCAAAAATAGTCAAAACATAATATGGGGACGATTTTTGTTTGCTTACCATTTGGGAGCATTTTTTGCGTATTTTTTTTCCGTCGGAAATTCTCTTGTAGGGGGACAGGCCCGACTTAGACGTAAGTCGGGCATGTCCCTCTACAGGAGGAGTGTTCAAACATAGTTGTAAAACAATCAGTGTGGGGACGATTTTCTTGGTATTTGTTCGACTACTTTGGAGTAGACGGAGGCCTGCAGCGTCCCAAGAACCGCGCGGTGGCGGACCGTGCGGTGAGGTCTCTGGAGGTTCCGAGCTCACCACGCGGTCTGTCACCGTACCGTTCCAGGGCCCTCCCTGCCACGCACACCCCGCCTCCGCCGCAGGAATGAAGATGGCCGTGGCATTCGTGCTGTCCGCCATGGCCCTGGCGCCGTGGGCACGCGCGCAGGGACCGACGCCGGTGCAGAAGGCGGACCGATGTTCTCTGTTCAGCTCCTGCGCTTTTCTGTCATGCATGCTTGTCCTGCGCATTCAGAACGCATTGTGAGGGCGAGGAGCCGTCCATGGGTGCCCATGCTAGGAGGAGGAGGAGGAGGGAGCAGGAGTTGGAGGAGGAGGAGGGGGAGGATGATAGACGCATCGGTGCCTCTCGGTCCATCCTGGCCTTGACCATGGGCCACAGGCTTCCAGCTTCTGCTTGAGCTTAGGCATCCACAGGCCGTGCATCCTTGCCGCGCGTCCTCGTAATCGGGTCGCACTGAAACCGCTCCCATCGGGTGAGGAGGGCGGCTGAGGTAGGGTTCGAGGGCGGAGGAGGAGGGAGGGGAGGGCCAATCCCCGAAGTCTCGACGCCGCTGGCACTGTCTGTTATAGCACCATGATGGCCCGCCCTCCCCAGGCTGTCTTCACGGCCGGAGGGGGGATCTGGAAAGTTCAAGTGGTTCTTGGGCAGATGTGGCAGGGAAATTCTGGAACAAAGCTTCATCATGTGTTGTTATGTGGTGTAGCCTTACACGCATGAATGTCATCCCTGATCGAAACATAACCAGGATGGGGTGCAGAGAATTCAAGTATCTGCTCGCGCAGGCAAACAAGAGAGGTGAGTGGACGACGACGGCGGCGTCCAGCCGGCGGCGAGGGCTCCCCCGCCCCATCTCTCGCTGAGCCCGAGGCGGTCCTGCACGCTTCGCTCCCCGGCCCCCCCCCCCTCCCATCTTTGTTGCTTCCTTCCCCACCTGCTGTCAAGGGATGAGGGCGGCTAAAGGCTGGGGACGTTTTTTCGATTAGTGTTTCTGAGTATGTTTTGACTATTCTTAATTTGTCCCCCCGAGTCCGCCTGTAGGGGAACACGCCCGACCTCAAACAACACGAGAGGCAGCGCGCGGCGCGGGGGCGCCTCGATGCTCGGTTTGGGGCCGCCGCCCGCGCCGCCGCGCCCGCCCTCTACTCGGGGGCGGGCGGACGAAGGGGGGAGACTGGCCAGGGGGGGGGGGAGCATACAGTGGGGGCCCATGCCAAGAAAGCCTTAGGTTTCCCTGGGGGCCCATGCCAAGAAAGGGCTGCTTGCCTCCAGGGTGCCTTGGCTTTCTTGGGTTGCGACGGTCTTGCGATGGAAGGCGTGGCGCTCCCACACCAGAAATCCATGGCCGTCCTGGGGTCTCAGGGTTGAGTTTCTTGTGGAAGGGTTCTTGTGGTCGGGCCTCCACTGTAAGGGACGAGGGAGCAGGTGGAGGCGGGAGGATGGGGATCGAGAAGGGCGACGCAGAGGCGAGGTGAGAGGAGAAGGGGGAGGAGTAGTTCTGCAACGAGAGAAGGAGCCCCCCCCCTCCCTCCCCTCTCATGGGCTGAAGGTCGGGCCTGTTCTTCTACAGGAGGAATCTTCAAAAATAGTCGGGGGACGATTGTTCTATTATTTCTTCACTATTGTTGAGCATTGTTTTGCTATTTTTCATGATTCGTCCAAAATCCGCCTGTAGGGGGACATGCCCGAGCTAATCCTGGGCCCGAGGTGATTGAGTTGATGGAGGGGATGCTGGCGAAGGGTGGGGGGCTCGGCCGCCTCGCGCGCGCGCGGGGAGACGCGAGAACTTCGCCGTGGCTGCCGCTGCCGTCGCCGCCTTCGTCGTCGCCGTGGCCGCCGTGGTCGTCCGATTGCTGGCGATCGTAGAGGCCTCCTATCGGGCATAGCCAGGACCCCAGTTAAGGGGACCCGGTTAGTAGTAGGGCCCCGGAGCCCCTAATTTGGCCAGAATCACCCAACCAGGTCTGCCGTAGCTGGTGTTTTTCGGGTGACGGCAGTTCGGGTTAGTGGAACGGGGCCTGGGGGGGGCGTCCCCCAGTACACGTCTTTGAACCAGGTCCCACTAGACCCAGTTTTGCCAACGCCCGATCCTAGATGGGGTCCGAGTAGAAGGGATGGGAGGCAGGGCTCGAGCTAGACGGTGTTTTGGCGATTTCGTGGACCGTCTTCGCTGTGATTTCGTTCTGCAGCGCGGGTTGGAACGACGACAGAGCGAGGGAGAACGTAGAACGAGCACGGAAAACATTGCTTAGCTCGAACACTGATAGGAGGATCGCGCCGCATCACCGATGCACCGCCGATGAAGTGGCGATGCGTCGGCGATGCACCGGCGACGTCGGCGATGCAGCGGCGTCGTCGGCGTGGAGAAAATCGGGCTGAACATCGAGTCGCATCAGCGATGCATCGGCGACGCGGCGCGATCTGCCGACCCAATCTGCTCCAGCCCCATCTTGGAGGCCCAGCGTGAGACTTGGAAGCGGCTGGGGGGTCTGCGCTGGGTGGGCCCCGAGAGGATCGGTCAAGAGGGGCGCACGAGGGCACACCCGCTCAGATTTCAGAGTCGGCCCCCGGCCGGAAGCGACAAGTTTATCTGGCCGCGGCCAGCCGTGGCGATAAGGTGATGATGATGATGATTTGATGATGATTTGATGATGATGATGATGATGATGATCATGATGATGATGATGATGATGATGATGATGATGATGATGATGATCATGATCATGATCATGATCATGATAATCATGATGATCATGATGATGATGATGATGATGATGATGATGATGATGATGATGATGATGATGATGACGACGTGGGCTTCGAGATCCAGGGTCTGTGAATATCCTGCAGCTTCTGAAGACAAGTTTGTGCGGTCTCCGGGGGGGGGCTTCCTCGCCGCCACGGCTGGACCCGCTCCAGAAAGTCACCAGAAGGTCGGAGTGTTTGCTGTTCGTGCCGTCGTCGTTGCCGCCGTCGTTGTCCTTGTCGATGTCGTCGTCCTCGACGTCGTCGTCGTCGCCGTCGCCGTCGCCGTCGCCGTCGCCGTCGCCGTCGCCGTCGTCGTCGTCGTCGTCGTCGTTATCGTCGTCTTCGTAGACGTCCTCCTCTTTCCTCGTCCTCGTCGTTTGGCGTCGCCGACGTCGTTGCCGCAGTGGCTGTCGTCGTCGCGGCGGCCGTCATCGTCGCCCTAGGTTTTCGCGGGTCTCTGGAGGATCCCAGAGAGACTCGTGCTCAACCCGCGCACGCTGCGATTTGAGCCTCGTGAACTTGCTTCTCGTGCTCGACCCCTCCTGATCCTCGTGCTCGACTCCTCGGTAGTTGGCATTTGGACTCTCGGAGGCTCCTGGAAAGGTCGCCACCCCTCGCAGCAGGGCGAGAGCTAAACGGTGTTTTGGCGATTTCGTGGCGCGTTTTCGTGTTGATCCCGTGCTGCAGCAAGTGCCGAACGAAGACAGAACGAGGGAAACCAAACACATGTGGGGGCGTTGGTCAAGGAATGTGCCCAGGAGGCTTCAGACCCTGGAGGACTCCCCCTCGGACAAGTGCGGAGGTGGTACCTATGACCATTCCACGGCTGGAGTTGCACCATCTTCCAGGCCCTGGATTCCTTATCCGATGGCTCCTTATCCAGCCTGGCGGGGGCCGCACAGCCCGCCAGCAGCAGGAGTACTGCCGCCTCGGTCGACCGCGGGTGCCAGCGCGCCTGCGGGAGCCCTCATCCCGCCGCCCGTCGCCGCGGTCGTGCAGCTGTACGGGCCTGCCTCCGCCGAGCAGGTGCGGGCCAGGGGCCAGGCGGTGCGCGGGGCGAGCGCGGCCGCAGTGGGCGCCAGTGCAGCGGCGGCCCACGAGGGCGGCCAGCGTGGGATACGCGGAATTGCACGAATTCACTCACGGGCCTCGCGGCCCTTGAAGAAGATCTGAAACATACCCTTGCCGCAACGGAATATGAAAATACAGTTTCGCTCTCGCGCTGCCCAGGAGGGTCCCAGAAAGGTCGCCGCCCCTCGCCGACCTCCTCCTGCCGCTGCCGCCACGCCGGCGCTGGTGCCGCTGCCGCTTGGCATCGCTTAACCAATCCCCATCCCCATCCCCATCCCCTACGAGACCCCCACCAAATTACCACCCAAGTCGGGGATACACCCCTCGAGACCCGAAGGGAACAACCAATGTCCCCATCTAGGGGGGTAAATCGACCAGTGGGGCCCAGGCCACGCCGCTGGGGATGCGGATCGGTTGAGCGATACTCAGCCGCCGCCGCGCCTGCCGCCCCGCCCAGGCGCACTGTGGTTCGGTAGCAAATCGTAGTCGGGGGCGACGACTGGGGCAGCGACGGGAGGGGGTGAGGATCAGGTTCGAGGTTCGAGGCTTCGAATTGTTTTTGGGCGTTCTCGGCGGCTCTCGGCGGCTTTCCGGCCTCGGGGCGCTCTCCAGCGGCGGCGCCTCGCTTAGGGTGTTCTAGGGGTGCCTGGATCGTCCCGAATGGCCGGCGGAAACCCGAGTTATGGCCCGAAAGCCACCGGGGACGGGGATGAAGATGGTGGGGGATGCATCGACCCCCAATCGCCCAGTGATCGCCGATGGGGGCCCGACAGCCCCAACCTGGCCAGGAGCGCGCGGATTCACACTATCGGGGGCCTATCGGCGACCTGTCGGCGATGTATCGCCGATTCCAGGTTGATTTGTCCCCCCCATATGCCAGTCCCCGCCGATCGTTGCCCCTCACACGGGAGCCTCGCATATTTTCGCCACTCTGTCTTTACAGGCAGTAGCGACAGTACGCGGCCAGTAATATAAGGGGTAGCGCCGATTCAGCGTCGATCACCATCGAGTAGCATCGATTAGCGTCGCTTCAGCGTCGATTCGCAAGAGCGAACAAGATGGCGTGGGAGGCTCCCATGAGTTACCACCGAAGGGCTATGATATTTCAGCCCCACCATACCACCACCCCAGTTTGGGACAGGCCCCTCGAAACCCGAAGAGGACAGCCTGTATCCGCATCCAGGAGGGGAATTCGGCCAGGTTGGCCCAGCCCACGCCAATCGGAATTGGCATCGATTAAAAGATGCTCAAGCACGCCCTTCTACTCGGGTCGCACGAAAGGGCGGGGGGGAATAGGGAAAGGGATTGTTCGAGGTTCGAGGTCTTCTGACGACTCGTCATCCTCGGGATGCTTTCCATGACCTGCGACTCGACGAGAGCGTTCCCGGGTGCCCAGATCGTCCCGGTTGGCCGCTGGGGACCCGAGTTATGACCCGAAAGCGAAACAACGATAATCTTTCTGGGGGGAGAGGGACAGGGAGGGTTACGAGATCTGCTGCTCGCGCAGCTGGTCTCGGCCCCGCCCTTCTTTTCTTTTCTTGGGCAAGCTGCAAGGCACCAGCCTGAAGCGTACGTGGGGGGCAGCAGAACCGCCGTCAACGAGAAAGTACAGGGCCTCCTGGAACGCGTACTGGGCTCGTGGAGGCCAGCAAGTCAGGCGTCTGGCCTCGCCCCCCAAAGGCCTGTGGAATCCGGCAAGTGCGGGCCGAGACGAGAGACAGAGCGCAAGTCTAGAGCTCGGCCTTGACGCAACAGCACGGTCAACATCAATGCCCCGCCCTCCAGGCGCCCTCCTCGACGCAGGTGCACCTCCCGCGCCGAGAGGCGCCCGGGAAAGCAGGTACTGGAGCTGACTCGACATACCCCCCCCCCCCTTCGCTATCCCTCCAGGTTCTCCTGCCCCAGCCGTCTTTTTCGCAAGGTTATTCCAGCCCTGGCGACATCCCAACCGTCCAGGGTTCCTACTCGGCCCCTGTTAGTTTTTCCAGCCCTGGCTACCCTCTCTCGCAGCACTTCGACCCTCCATGTTTTCAAGCTTCCCTGCTCTGGGAGCCTTCGGCACAACCTCCTTAAGTCAGGGAAGAAGGGATACCGATACCGCCGCTGCTCGTCCTAGAGAGCCATCGTCGCCACGACTGGATTCGCATCGAAGTGTTGGTCAGAGCGCACCCTGGGAGTTCCCCCAGCATGGGTTCGACGACTCTTTGCCTTTTTGATTTGCTGGGGTCAGGCCAGGCATAGTGAGGCAAACCGGTGTTCGCCTACGTAGATTGATGCACGTCCATGTAGATCCAGGTAAATTCAGATTCATCCAGATACACGCAGCAGATTTGCGTCGTGGAAGCTCCAGCGCGAGTGGAGCGTCAGCCAACGTCGCTGAGCCTATATCGACCACCACACGGCCCCCAGAACTGTCCAACAAGTCCTCATGATGCAGGCCTGGTCCCTGGGGAAGGGGAAGGTCCCAGGGTTCAGGACCCAGTTCCCTCAGAACCCGTGTCTCGTGGTTGCAAACAACCCGCCGCCGTGACGGGCTCGCGCACAAGAGCTTTTTTGGAGGTCTTTGATACCTCGGGGAAGGGAAGGTATTCTGCGGTCGTGGAAGTTTCCCGGGGATCTCGCCCCCAACCCCCTAAATTACCTCCTCCCTGGGCGTCCTCGCTGTGCGGTAGTGCGTTATGTCTGTGTTTCAGTTTGTTCATGTTGTGTTTCGATTGCCCTCTGTGTTCTGGGCTCTCGAGTCTTGAACTGTAGCTCGCATGCTCCTCGTCTCTTCCCGCTTGCACCTCCTCCTTCCTACCCCTTCCTGCACTATCGTGCAAGCAAGACTCTGGACAATGACCGTTATGTGGGTTCAGGCGGGGCTATGTCGGGTACAGCCAGGACCCCAGGTAAGGGGCCCCGGTTAGTGGTAGGGCCCCGGAGGCTTTCAATTGGCCAGAATCACTAAACCGTGTCCGCCGTAGCCGGTGTTTTTTCGGGTGACGGCAGTTCCGGTTAGTGGAACGGGGCGGGGGGGGGCGTCCCCCAGTACACATCACCAAACCAGGTCCCACTAGACCCAGTTTTGACAACGCCCGACTCTCGTCCTGTCTCGCTGCCAGCGCTCACGATACCAGCGGTCACACAGTTCAACGATAACAACGACAACCAGGATCCGTATCGTTGGGATCGTCATCGCTGGGATCCTCATCGTTGTGATCGTCGTCGTCCTCGCGCGCCGCCAGGCAAGGAGGACAAGAAGGCGGAGCAGGTGGGCTACGCCGCCTTCAAGCAGTTCTGCGGCGGCCTCGGCTGCCCCAGCCCGGGGGGGAGGGGCATGGCCGTGCCCAGGCGCCGTCGCTGCCGGGGGACCGGAGGCGAGAAGCACACACACGCACAGATGACGACGCTGACGACGACGACGATGGCGATGGCGATGGCGATGTCGACGATGGCGATGGCGATGGCGATGGCGATGGCGATGATGACGATAACGCCGTCGACGACGACGGCGATGGCGATGGCGATGGCGATGGCGAGGATGATGACGATGGCGATCGTCGTCGTCATCGTCATCGTCATCGTCGTGCGTTCGGGGGGTCGCGGGGTTTTCGGATCCGATAGCCCCCTGGTTGCCTCCATGGCGCCGCCCCGCTGCCGCGCGATCATCGGGCAGTTCATCGGGCAGTTCATGGTCGTACAGTTTTTTCCCAGGAGGTAAACTCGGGCGAAGAGAACCATGCGCATGCACAGGTCCTGGCCAGGCCCATCCTTGGCCCCAGGATCGGTGCATATGCCTTCCTGGCCAAGGCAGAAGGGCGTATGCACCGATCCTGGGCTCGGGATGGGCCTGGCCAGAATCGGTGTATGTGCATAGTTCTCTTTCCTTTGTAAACATAGGCACACATAAACGTCGGCTTCCAGCAAGAAACACTATTGAAATTGTGGTCAGTGGGGCAGAAGACGAAAATTGTGAACACGTGCAACGACATTATCTGTGTATCCCTGGTGCCCGTATTTTCTCTAGAGAGGGACGGAGGAAGGGGAAGGAGGACACGCACGAGCGGGGAGGGCGAGCGGATAAGGGGGTAGGGGGGATTTTGAGAGGATGGAGGAGGAACAGGAGGAGGAGGAGGAGAAGGAGTGCGTTGGCGCAGGAGGAGGCGGAGGAGGGCGAAGACGATGAGGTTCGAGGGCGGGGAGAATGAAAGAGGGAACGGAAGGCTAAGGGACCACTTTTAGGTGGAGCGAAAGGCGGGAAAGGAAGGATGATGGGTTGATTGAATGATTTGTCATGCCGTTTTCGTGTTTGCGGTTTTCTGGCTATCCTCACATATTCCGAGGGCTAAAGCCAGCAACAATACTAACACCACTGACCGCAACAACAAGAGCAGCAACAGCAACAGCAACAACAACAAGCATCAGTTTCAGAGTGTTCGTTCGTATTTGCGTGCGTGCCATTCAACACGTATATCCAAACCATCGATACCCGCCCTCTCCGTCTTCGATCGTACCCCTTTTGGGGTGTATGGCTCGTACTTGCAACGTGTATGTCATGCAGCCCCTACGGCAGGGAAAGAGAGGGCGGATGGAAGAAAGGGACAGGGGGCGGGAGGAGGATAGAGCACAAGAGAGAGAGAGAGAGATTAACAGGGGGGGCTAGGAACAGGAAGCACGTGGCAAAACCAGACGGGCAGATCGGGCGGGTGGACGCTAACAGGCGGGTCGGGAAGGCGGGCCCAGGCGGCCAGGTCGAGCAGGCGGGTCGCTAAAGCGTGCGTCCTGAATGAATCGCGAGTCTCGGGCGATAGCGCGATCCCCAATTACACCGTGAGTTATGCCAAAGCGAGAGCGTGACTGAGTGTCGAGGGGGCGGCGTCTGAATAAATCGAGGAGGTCTCACGCGAGGTCGCCATTCCTGAGTACATTGTGAGGACGTCCCGCGCGAGAGCGCGATTTAGGAATACATTGTGAAGAAGTATCAGGCAACACCGTTGTTGTTGTTGTAACTCGGGGGGCCAGGTGCCTAAATTTGAGATCCAAGACTTCCCCGACAAGAGGAACAACAGGATGCAAGCCCCAGGAAGAGCAATTCAATTGAAACATTTAGTGTGCTCTGGGGGGATCAACTGTAGCAGTTCTTCCGTAGTGAGAACTCAACAATCCGTAGCTTTTTGGTTCAAGCCATTTTGGCTCAAGGCGCCCGGTGGCCAGGCACCAAGGGTGGGCGCGGCCGCGCCCCCTGGCCCTCGGCGGCCACTCTCGTCGGTCCTTTTCCTCGCTCCCCTCTCGCAATGGAGGCGATGCGTCAGGCCACGCCGTGGCCTAGAAGGGCTCCTGCTCCGACTACCCCTGTGGAGAGCGCGGTTAGCGAGGGCTTCTCCGTCCGCCCACCGCCCGCAGGTGCAAGGTACAAGCACGACGGGCACTAACCTGATTGCCGCTTTCAAAGAGTTGGCTCAATCAGCCTCTCTCGTGCAGTCTTGACTCTCATCCATCAGCTGGATCGGAGTATCACTAAGATCAACAACATATTCTTGGAGAGCCATGGCCAGCTGATGCAAGTTGAGAAGAGCTTTCAGAGTTTACAGACAGCACGTCCTAACCTCGCGAAGCCGACGACCGATACTTTCGCGAATATTCGTTCTATCCAGGAGCAGGCCTTTCTGCAGGCCGTTCAGGATCGTGAGATTGCAGAGGGTGAACTGAGGAAGGAGCTGATGGGGGTCACTGGCACGATGAAGGAGGGCGTAGAAGCGTTCAGCGACGCTCAGGTTGGAGGCACATCAACCCCTATTGGCGGCACAGCAACTCCTTGATGATGGTGACCAATTCGCTCGTCAGGCTCGTCGCCGGGCTGAGCAGATGACGTGATCAATTCATTCGGCAGGCTCGTCGTCGGGTTGAGCCAGAAGACGTTTGCAACCCGACTCGTCTCGTGGTCCCGGCATTTCGCCGATCTTTCATCGTGGCATCTTTTCGCCAGGCTGTCAACCCGATCGTGAACGCGCGCGCGTGGGCCAGTGGCATCCACTGTGTCCATGCGGAGGTGTCAACTTCAGTAAGTCTGCGTGCGTTGATTTCCCGACCGCTCTGATGGTCTCCACGCTCCACGCGAAGCGCATGTCTGAGGGGTCGCTGACTTTTCCTGCTCCCGAGGGCGGACTGGACATTGAGCACCGCGTCCGCTGCAGTCCCCCGCAGACGCCCCGCAAGTGGTTTCACTTTCTCGGGGACGCGAGGCAGGCAGGCAGCGGCGCGGATCTTCGGCCAGGAGCGCGTTGGACCCACGGGGCTCGGGGGGTGATTTACGCGACGACGCGTGGTATTCCTGGCCCAGCGGCGATTGACAATTGCCCAGCGGCTGGCGGCGTTAACGCGGCGGTGGACAAAGTGGGCTCGGCCGAGATTGAGGGGGGGCGCGCGCGCCGCGTCTGCCGGCTCGCTTCGCGGGGGGCGGCGAGCGCAGCGGCTGCGCGGAAGGAAGGGGGCTCGACGGGAGACGCTTTGGCATCTGCGAACTCAACTGCCCCCCCGCCACCTGAGAGCAGCGCTAGCCGTAATTCTATGGACACGGCGTCGCAATGTTCTTCTCCTGGTTGCGGTTGTTGGCGAGGTCCATCGTCCATCTACTCCGCTCGCGCTCTGCGCGTGGAACGCCCGCGCTCTCTTCGCGCCCGTCGCGCCCCCTTCTCTCCGAGCGAGCGCGAGGTTTCAGCGGGCAGAGAGGTTGTTTGAGAGGCATATCGGATTGCGCGTCTCCAGGACGCCCACGGTTACACGGCAAACTTGGCCATGCTAGCTGACGAGATGCGCGACAGGGCAAATGGGGGGGCCGCCTGCTGTCTCGGGCGCGCTTTCTGCTGAGTCCCCGCGTGCTGTTCTTATCGAGGTGTTGGAAGGGGGTCTTCCTTATGGGCTGCTCGAGGCCTACTGGGGTCCTCGCGAGTGCGAGTGCCCACGTGGCTAACGCGCGCGGTCACGGCGGCGTAGAGTCGCAGCGTCTGCAGAGAATCACCCCTGCAACTCACAGTCTGGCGCAAGATGATTGGAATTTCGCTGCAACGGCGGATGGGGGGGCCTTGGCGGGGGGGGAATTTGGCCCCTGGGATCGGTTGCAGCGCGGTGCCTTCAATGATCACTGCGCCCCCGACTGTGAAGTGCGTCAGCCGGGCCCCGCTTGCAGGGGCGCAGTCGGTGGCGAGCTCCGAGGTTTCTTCTGGATAGATCTACGCCACTCTCCCCGCGGGACTCGTTTGCGAGTTCGTTGTCGCTGCTTGCGTTGCGGGGGCCTTGACCTGCAGAGGGGCGCCATCGGGTCGCACCCCTGTTGCCGCGGCGATCGCCCGCCCCATGCCTGGAGCCCGGAGGCCCCTACTGGTCCCGAAATTGGTTGGACAGCGCCGCGCAAGAGGATGGTCTCAGAGCTGCCGAGGTGGCTCGCACTTCCAGAGGGCTCGCTGGAGCGCGTTCGGAAAGTGAAAACTTTGTCCGGCGCAGTGGCGACCGAATGCCGGCGGCCCCTCTGGAACCGACAGGCGTCGAATGATGCGGAGCGTCTCCATGTCGCCGTCATGGCATTCCGAGGTTGGAGGGGGCAGCAGCGGTGCATGTTCATCCGTGCGCTGCGCGACCACGATGCTCTTTTCGCTTTTTTTATATTGACCGCGGCATCTGCGCTGGCCCAGGCGGATTGCTTCCACTGTTCGGCGCGTTGAATAACCTATGGTTTTCGGAGGAGCTGGGGGGCGCGGAGCAGAGCCGGGGGGCCGAGGAGGTCATGGGCAAGCAGGAGAAACGCCCGATGGCATTGAAGAGAGGTTACACACTAATGGGGCGTCGCATTGGACTGGGGCGGGGTGCTGGACGAGAACGGCCCCACCTGCCCGACCCCGGCGACGCGGCCCGCGCGCTGGCCAGCCGCTGGGAAAGAGCGTTCGCCCACTCCCCCCGCGATAGAAGGCGCTGTCCTGCGATGTCCCCCCACGTTCAATCGATTGGCCCGCTGCCTCGCGAACCCTTTATGGCGCGCGGGCCAGGGCGAATTTGAAAGGCGCGCGCGGTTCGAACGGCGCTTTGCTCCCGGCCCCGATGGCATCCCGCGTGGATGTTGGGCGGTTCCTGGCGCCGCTGATGTTCTGCGCGGCGTCTACAGAGCGGTTGATGATGGCGAAGGTGCTGCTCGTCCCCGACTGCAGGATTAGCAAGAGGAAGTTAGGAGCAGAACGCACGCGGCATAGCCAGACAGAGGGGCCCATCGGACGGGCAGACCCTAACGGGCGGGTCGGGAAGGCAGGCCCAAGCGGCCAGGCGGAGAAGGCGTGTTGCTGAAGCGCGAGCACTGCATGATCCTTCGCCGGAGGGACCCTCTGGTGCGGGCCCATTGGGGCCCCCCGATCGCCGAGGGCGATGCGATATAGTGGAGGCACATGCCAAGAAACTACCTCCTTGTCTTCACGGTGCCTTGGGTTTTTTGGGTTTCGATGGTTTCGCTATGGAAAGCGCGACGTCCCCACACCAAAAATCAACGGACGTCCTGGGGTCTCAGTGCCGGGTTTTGTTGTGGGTTTTTTTCGTGGACCTGGCCCCCGCTGTAAGAGTGACCCTTCGCCGGAGTGACCTCTGGTGCGAGCCTATTGTGGTCGCCCCGGTCGTCGAAGGCGACGCGATAGCAGCGTCCCGCGAGCCTGTGTTTGGCCACCCCGCGGACCCCCTTGAAGCCGCGCACCCGAGGCCAGTCTTTCCCAGGGTCGCTTTAGCGCTTGGCCAAGGATCAGGAGGGACAAAAACACACAGACACAATTAATCGTCGATCCCCAGGAAAATAGGGGAAAATATGGGAAGTGGGGGGAAGACAGAAACCCAGAAAATATGGGGAATCCTTTTATTTGTGTGTATTTATTTGTGTGTCCCAGGGCCCCTTCAAAGGAGGGCGCGGCGCGAGGGGCCCCGAAAAGTGCGGGGCGCGCCCGCCTCGCAGGGCGCTCGAGGGGGCACAGCAGGTCGGCCGACCTTCCGCCAGTTCAGAGGAGGAAAGTGCACCGTTGCCCTCGCATCGGTTCCCCCTGTTTTCGGGCCTCCTGGGGGGCCCTTGTCGCCACCGCTGGATTCGCTTCGAAATTTTGGTCAGAACGCACCCCTGGAGAGGTCCGTATCGGTACTTTTCGGTTTCCCCACCAGCAGCCTTGCTCGTTCGACGGCTAATCCCGGATCCCTGGGCCTCCCAGATGGGGTCGGAGTAGGTGGCGTCGGAGGCTGGCGCCAGATCGCCGCCACATCGCCGATGCATCGGCGATGCGTCTCGATGCGGGGCCCCATTATCTCCACGCCGACGCCGCTGATGTAGCGCCGACGTCGCCAGAGCATCGTTGATACATCAGCGATGCAACGCAAGCCTCCGACCCCATCTACTCGGACCCCATCGAAGAGACATCAAAAATCATACGAGCAGTCTATGTCCTCGAAGCGATGTCTGCGTTAGCATCTGGTAGTCGATAAAGATCCAATTCAGCGTCGATTTAGCGTCGATTGGCGTCAGCCAGCGTCGATTCGCAACTGCCAGCAAGATATGGGAGACTTCCGTGAAGTGCCGCAGAGCGCAGGGGATTGTTGGTCTTTCTTCGTCTTGCCTCCTTCCTTTCGGGCAAACGTAAGACTCGAGTTCGCCAGGACCTCCAGGAATCGGGGTTTTGCCAGTGCCGTTTTGCGGGTATCATCCTGAATTTTGGCGGTCCGTTTTTTTTTGGATGTGTGCAGCGGGTTAGCGCGACAATTTTCAGATTGCGTCTCGTCATTTTCCCGGCGGCCCCGTCAGGCCAACCTGAGTCCCCCGAGCCCGAGTTTTCCGTCCTCCCGAATCCTTCGTCTTCCCCCCCCCCCCCTCATCTTCCCCGTTCTGGCTGGCGTCGACGGACACTGCTGGAAGGCCCAACCAGCGGCCTCAGGTCTCCCACAGTTCGGGTCGGACTATCAACGGGGACAGGGAAGGGATTAAGTCGGGCCTGTCCCTCTACAGGGGGAGTATTCAAGAACAGTGAAACATAGTGTGGGGACGTTTTGCGGGGTACGTTTGACTATCGTGGGATATGTTTTGAATATATATATATATGTGTATGTATGTATGTATGTATGTATGTATGCATGCATGCATGCATGCATGCATGCATGCATGCATGCATGCATGCATGCATGCATGCATGTATGTATGTATGTATGTATGTATGTATGTATGTATGTATGTATGTATTTATGTATATATCTATATCTATATCTATATCTATATCTATATCTATATCTATATCTATATCTATATATATATATATATATATATATATATGAATTTTGTTTTCGTCGAAAATCCCCCTGTAGGAGGACATGCCCGACCTAAAGAAGGGGGGAGGTGCGAAGTCGGCCGCGCGCAGCCGGTTCGGGCCCTGCCCGCCAGGCGCTCTCCTCGACGCATTGGTCGCCCATTGGCGCCGGGAGGCACCGAGCACGCCAGCCACGCGAGCTGGCTCCGCGAACCCCTCTTGACTGACCCCCCCCCTCCTCCTCCTGCTCCTGCTCCTCCTCCCCCTCCTCCCCCTAACAGAGTCGAGAGCATGATCCGAGCTCGCGCCAGAGCGATCGCAAGACGGTCGGCTCGTGCTCGTGCGACGCTCTCCGGCTAGCTTGTGGGCGATGTATGATTCCTGGAGTGCTTGGTTATAGCCCCCATGAGGGGAAGCGGACATTGGCCCCCGGACGGGCTCCCTTGAGGCGGTGCGCTCCTCCTCCTCCTCCCCCTCCTCCTCCTCCATTCCTTCTCCTTATAGTTGACTTCTCCCTGTAGCACCCCAACGCCAGTTTTTCGGGCGGGCTGGGCGTTTCGCCTGAGGCTTCCTCACCCTTTATGATCTTGAAGCTTACAGAGTGAAACACAGCTTCACAGTTGGAGGGCGGGTGGTTTTCAAAATGTGGCTCTCGCTCGCCTTAGCGCCGCGCACAGTCGTTTTAAGCATTTACAGGAGTTTCACGGATTGATGGCTGGTGGTTTTCAAAATGTGGTTCTCGCTTTAGCGCCGCGCATTTTTTAAACATTCGCAAGAGTTTCATGGATTGAGGGCGAGAAGTTTTCAAAATGTGGTTCTCGCCTAAGCGCCGTGCGCATATGTCTTCAAACATCGCATGAGTTTCATGGATTGAGGGCGAGTAGTTTTCAAAATGTGGTTTTCGCCTAAGCGCCGTGCGCATATGTTTTCAAACATCGCAAGAGCTTCACGGATTGAGGGCGGGCGGTTTTCAAAATGTGGTTCTCGCCTTAGCGCCGCGCACATTCGTTCTAACAATTCGCAAGAGTTTCACGGATTCCCATGATCAACGTACCAGAAATGGTGTTTTGAAAAGATTCAAGATTTTGTGGGTGTAACAGTTATGTTGATTCGCTGTGTTGAAATCGTACACATGGCGTTATGGCATGATTCCGGATCGTCAACACGCAGCAGTCAGGCTGATATGTGGCGTTGAAATCCTGAGAACAATGTTTTGGCATGCTTCAGTATCTTCAAACGGTTGTCGTCCAACGAGGCAGTTCCCTCAATGTAAATGAGCCGTTGGAGGGAGGGTTGATTCCAACATCGTTGATGACTCAAGGGTTTGCACTGGCCCTCCTCCTCCTCCTCCTCCTCTTTCTCCCTCCTCTCCCTCCATCTCCTCCTCGGGTCGCCTACGGCCCTGGGGGGAACCTGGCAACCGGCCCCTGTTCGTCGGACCTGGAGGGGGGGGACGGGGGGAGGCCCTCACTGGACCATCTCGCAAGGGAGTGCAGCAATCGTGGATCACGGCGCGTGGATCAGCAACGGGCCCCGTTCCCATACGCAGCTGACGCAGGCAGTCCGCCAACTCGGGCGGCACCGGCGCCATGATTCTGTGATTACTTCCTCCGATCTGTGGATCTGGCGCCCACGCGACAGAGGCACATATCATTAATCCATATTAGCATGTGCCCGAAGGTAGGCAAGGGCTCCCTGGGCTCCACCGCCGTCGCCCCTCCGAGGCGAAGACACCGAGACCGAGACATCGCGCAACATCGAGGAGGCCGAGATGAAGATCGAGACCCTGAAGGCTTCCTGATGGGGAGGGGAAAGGAAGGGAGGTTGACAGATGAGAAGGGTCCCAGGCAGGCAGGATGGAATGTATCATGAGGAGGACAAAGGAGGAGAAGGGGAGGGATGAGAAGGAGGAGGAGGAGGAGGAGAAGGAGGATGACGAAAAGGGATGGAGCTGGAGGCAGAAGGAAGGAGGATGTGGAGCGGTGGGGCTTTACGTAGGAGGACGGATAGCCGGCATGCGGAGAAGGAGCAACACGATGAGTATGTACGCAAGGTTGATTGTGAGCAGATGACGCGCACACGAGATGGATGTTCAACAGGTATGTTCTGCCAAATATGATTCAATGCCCTCGACCACCAGACTGTGCTGTTCGGACATTTCCAGATCGTTCGTTTCCGGCCAGTACATTTGCGGACCATGTGAGTTGCCACCTCCAGTTGTACCGTATACCAGTTGTAACCGTTAAGCAACACATCCATAAAGAGGTCAGCCTCGAGCTTTTCAAGTGTCAGAAGAAGTGCTTGATGGTCAACCGATTGAACGTGTTCACCATTCGGCAGTCGAGCTGATGTTGGCCAAAATCCAGAGCGAGCGCGAAAGTTTCGACGGCGCCTTTCGGGACCTCCATGGATCCGCGCCGGCTCGCTCCCCGTGGCTCACGTGAACGGTGCCACGTTGGCGGGCGCGCACATGCGCCACGCATGTGGGACAGAAGTCCATTATGATCCCCCATCCGTTCCTGCCGTCCACGGTCGCTGTGGTTCACCCTCGTACGCGTCCTCGGGCGTTTGCCCCCTCTGCAGCAATCCGCTGGGCCAGAGGACACAATCAACCCGCGTAGTAAGGATGGGCAACCTTCCCAAGAGTACCCTTGCATCCTTGCCTACTCAATCCACCCTTGGCCACTTTCGTTGGCCAACCTCGTTCGACAAAACGTTAACATGGCCGTCCAAGGCCCTTACATCCCTACCGCGCATCCTTCTGTTACGAGCTGACTGTAAACCAGCCTGGGTGAGGCATATTGCGGTCGCGGTCGAATTCAATGTCGCCATGAAGCGGATACTTGCTGTTGATGACGTGGAACAGGAGGTTAACCTCAGTTGTGGCTAGGACCAGGATAATCGATCCAGAACGCTCTCGGAGCATCCTGGAACGCTTTGTAACGGCCGCGGCGCCAGATGCCTCCTCCAGAACCGCCACGTGTCCTAGATCTTCGGTCTGCCCCGGTCCGACGTTGTCCCCGTCTTGGTTTCGTCGTTACACCGAAGAGCCGAGACATTTGGTCGGATCGCGAAACGAGAAGCCACATGTTCCTCGTGGGGGGTGCCTTATGGGTTTCTGCGTTCCGCGCGCGGCGCAGTGACTTCCCGCGGCTGGGTTTCACCCGGGGCGTATTTTGTGCGCGGGCTTTCGGGCACGGTGGAGGCCCTTGCCGAGAGACACCCTGCTTGCCTCCGGGGTGCCCTGGGTCTCTTGGGTGTCGCTGGTTTTGCTGTTGAAAGCGTGACGCCCCCACACCAAAAATCAGTGGACGTCCTGAGGTCTCAGGGTTGGACTTCTTGTGGAAGGTTTCTTGTGGACTGGCCTGCACTGCATGGGGGACCGAAATGGGCACGAAATCAACGGGTAGAAAGTCCAACAAACAGCAGTTCTTGTTCATTGTGACCAGGATTCGCGGCCGGCGTCGCCGCGGTCGTTGCGTCTTGAAACGCAAGCTCTCCTGCCCAAGTGCTTGCAGCCGCTGTCGGTCTTGGACATCTTTGCTGTTGGGCATCGTACCCATGTTCGCCGTACCAGCTCCTGGCGTCCAGGGAGAGGGCTTCTTGCGGCCGCGTCCGCTCCATGTTCCAGGACGCACATCGGGGTGTCAGGGGAGGGAGGGAAGGCTTCTTAGAAGCTCCCCTGTTCACTAGAAGGCGCGGGCCTTATCCGTAGATGTAAGGCCGGCGCCTTCTGAGAGGCCTCTTTCTAAGAAAGTTTCCCCTCTCCCTCCACCGCCGCCAACGGGCATCGTACCCTTTTTTGTCGTACCCATTCTTCGCGTCCAGAGCGAGGATTTCTTGTTTCTTGCGGCCGCGTCCATTCTGTGTTTCAGCCACGCGCAGAAGGGGTGGAGGGGGAGGGGGGGTCTTCTTAGAAGCACCCCTGCTTCTTAGAAGGCGCGGGCCTTGTCTGTAGATGTAAGGCCGGGCGCCATCTAAGAGACAGCCGCCTCCTAAGAAGCCTTCCCTCCTCCCTCCTCCCCGTTGTGCGCGCCTCCAAAGGGCATCGGACCTATGCTTGCCGTACCCATTCCGCGCGTCCAGAGCGAGGGTTTCTTTCGGCCGCGTCCACTCTGTGTTTCAGCCACGCCCAGAAGTGTGGAGCAGCTACGCGCAGAGGGGGGGTGCGGGAGGTGGGAAAGCTTTTTTGAAGCACCCACCTTTCTCAGAACGCGCGGGCGCCCCTTCTAAGAAGCTCGCGGTTGATTCTTGGAAGCTGTTCTTGGCGTGTTTCTTAGAAGCAGGTGGCTTGCTTCTAAGAAGCTGTTACTGCTTCTAAGAAGCCATTCCGTGCTTCTTAGAAGTTGCTGGGGTTCGTCAAGAAGCGGCGCGCTGGCGCGCCCCTGGCTCCTAGGAAGGGCGGCCAGCGCCTTCTAGGGGGCAGCCGCCTTCTGAGGAGCTTTCCCCCCTCTCTACCCCCTGCGCGCGCTGACAAGTGTAGGGGGAGGGGCGCTTCTTAGAAGCATCCCTGCTTCTTAGAAGGCGTGGGCCTCATCTGTAGATGTAAGGCCGGAGCCTTCTAAGAGGCAGCCTCATTCTAAGAAGCCTCCCTCCTCCCTCCACCCCGATGTGCGCGCCGCCAATTGGGCATCGTCTTCAATTTCTGCCGTACCCATTCTGGGCGTCCAGAGCGATGGTTTCTTGCGGCCGCCTCAGCTCTGTGTATCGCCACGCGCAGAAGGGGGTAGGGGGAGGGGGGAAGTTTTCAGAAACACTGTCGCTTCTTCGATGAGGCGGGCTCTATCTGTAGAAGTCAGATGATGTGAGGCCGCCGCCTCCTTCTTAGAAGCCTTCCCCCCTCTCTTCACCCCGACGTGAGCGCCGCCAATGGGCATCGTATTCAATTTCTGCCGTACCCATTCGGGGCGTCCAGAGCAAGGGTTTCTTGCGACCGCCTCCGCTCTGTGCATCATCCACGCGCAGAAGAGGGGGTAGGGGAAGGGGGGGGCTTTTAGAAGCACCTCTGCTTCTTAGATTACGCGGGCCTTACCTGTAGATGTAAAATCATGAAAGGCCGCCGCCTTCTTCTGAGAAGCCTCCACCCCGATGTGAGCGCCGCCGAAGGGCATCGTACTAAATTTCTGCCCTGCCCATTCCGCGCGTCCAGAGCGAGGTTTCTTCTCGCCGTGTCCGCTCTGTGTTTCAGCCACGCGCAGAGGGGAGTAGGGGGAGGGGTGAGGGCTTCTTAGAAGCACCCATGCTTCGTGGAACGCGCGATCTGATCCATCGGTGCACGGCCGGCGCCTTCTAAAAGGTAGCCTCCTTCTAAGAAGCCTCCACCCATCCCTCACCCCGATGTGCGCTCCGCCAATGGGCATTGTATTCAATTTCTGCCGTACCCATTTTGGGCGTCCAGAGCGAGGGTTTCTTCTCGCCGTGTCCATTCCGTGTTTCAGCCACGCGCAGAGGTGTAGGGGGAGGGGGGAGGGCTTCCTCGAAGCAACCCTGCTTCTTGGAAGGCGCGGGCCCTCTCTGTAGATGTACGGCCCGCGCCTTCTAAGGGGCAGCCTCCTTCTAAGAAGCTTTCCCCCCTCCCTCCACCCCGATGTGCGCGCCGCCAATGGGCATCGCACTCGATTTCTGCCATGCCCATTGTTGCGTACCCATTTCGTACCCGTTCTGGGCGTCGTCTGTACGCCCGTACATCTACAGATACGGTCTGCGCCGTCCCTGCAGCGGGAGGGTTGCCAGCGCCTCCGTCGCCTGGAGCCCCCCGGCGGCGCCTCCTGCGCCGCCCTTGGCGCGCTCCGCGCGCCAGCCAGGAGGGTTCTAGAAATCTGCGCGGACCTCCGAGTCTTGATGCTTATGTATTTTCGCTTCCCACCGAGGGCCGCTCCACGGCGGTGTCGCCAGTGTCCGCCCCCCTCCTCTCGGGATGTGACAAGGTGCCGATGCCGCTCGCCGCTGCCCTTCTCTTGTGACCACGGCTAGATGCGCCTCGAAGTCCTGGTCAGAGCGCACCCAGTGAGGAGAGGTCTGGGGAGTAATTAGCGGCATCGTTCCCCCAGTCTCCTCCTCCTCCTCCTCCTCCTCCTCCTCCTCCTCCTCCTCCTCCTCCTCCTCCTCCCCCGCCTCCTCCTCCCCCTCCTCCTCCTCCTCCTCATCATCATCACCATCATCATCATCATCATCATCATCATCATCATCATCATCATCATCATCATCATCATCAGCATCGAGTCATGCAAGGGTGCCCTCTTTCAGGCTCGGTCTGGGCTCTAGCAATGGACCCCATCCTGAGATGTCTGGTTGAGCAAGCCGCTGATCCTTCTCTGGGGGACTGGCGCGGGGAGGTGGGTGGGTGTGCGGACGACACAGGCCTTGCTCAACCTAGACTCGAGGACCTATGCCGCGTCGCTCCAGTCTTTCAGGATGCAGAAGAGCTTGCTAAGCTCCGCCTCCAGACTTCCAAAACTGTCATCGTCCCTCTCTGGACAGAGCTCTCAGAGGCAGTCGTAGCACGAATTCGGGGATTCCTGCGCGAGCATATTCCCCAATGGACCAATATGAAGATCGCTTCCTACACCAAATACCTTGGGGTCCAGTTTGGGCCTGGGGCGTCGGAGGCGCTTGTGTGGAAGGAAGCGGTCGCCAAGTGGTGGACTCGTTCGTTTGACATTCCCAAATCCGAGAGCCCCACCAGTGTCAGTCTGCTGCTATACAACAGTACTGCATTATCTACTTTAAGCTACCTTGCCCAACTTTTCCCGATGGATCGCGAAGCCCTCCTGAAGGAAAAATTTGCCATCCACAAAGTCCTTCGGCTTCCACCCAGCACGTTTCGCAAAGCAGATGTTTTCTCTTTCACGGGACACGGTTTAGTGGCCCCACAGTCCGCCCTGATCCTAGGAGCGGCTAGTATGTGGCGCTGCTCCACTCTCACGATCACTGACTGGCGCGAAACGGCGGCGCTGACCTGCCCCGTCGTTGACTGGATCAAAGGAGAGTGGAGCGCCCCCTGCTGGATCCAAAAGCAGGGGATCGCCCAGCGCTTCGCAGATTTAGTGAATCGCCCACCCCGCCGAGGCATCCCAATTGTCCAGTGGAGAGCCTCGCATGCAGCAGGCCGCATGGAAACCCGTGCGGCGCAAGCGGTGGGCAAGAAGCCCAAGCTCCAGCGTACGATCTCCTCCTTCCTCCGCCTCAATCTCTTCCCCAATAAATTTGAAGTCACTATCTCCAAGCGTCTGAACGCTTGGGGACTTGCTGATAGCATCGTGGGCGGGGTGGCGGAGCGGTGGGGGGATTGTCTTGCAACGATTAAGAAGTTCAAACCTGCATGGCAGTGGTCAATCCTTAAGACCCTCGCAGGCGGCTGGACTACCAGCCATCGAATCCACGTGCGTGGGATCGTCAATTGCCTTTTTGGGTGCGCCCAGACTGACTCCATTGCCCATTATTTTTCTTGCCCCGTCCTCCGTTCCCTCGTCGGCCTCCCCTCCAACCCACTGACGTTCCTCGGCCTAGCGGCCGACAACGAATACAATTGTGAGAGCTGCACGTTCTCGCGCGCTGATGCGCTGCGTTTGGCCGTGTTGGCATTCCATACTTACCATAAGGCGAAAGCTGCGGTGACCCATGGGGACCAGCTCACGCCAAGCCAACAGCGAGCCGCCTTCGCAGCAGCACAGCACGCCACTGACATCTCAAGCGGCTGACGATGCGTGCGAACTGGCTCGCCCCAGGTACGGTCGATCATCATCATCAGCATCATCTTCAGCATCATCATCAGCATCATCATCAGCATCACCACCAATCATCACCATCATCACCATCATCAATCATCAGCAGCAGCATCATCAGCATCATCCTTCTCCTCCGTCTGAGGCCCTGGCAGCGGCCGAGTCTCTCGGGCACGCTTTTTCGGGGCGCGGTCTGGGCAGCCGTCCTTCGCTGCGCCGTCCGGGCCGAGGAGTAGTGCTCCGCCGACGGAGCGGGAGCGGGAGGACGAGCCAGGAGTGAGGGAAGGAGTCACCAGCCTCGACCTAATCCCTATCCCTGAGATTGACACGCCAAAAGGCGATGACAATCTTAGGGATGCACCCATCAGAAACTGAGGGAATCCCTAAGATCGCCATCGTGATGAGGCGATGCCCAACATGGGGATAGGGATATGTTCTGGGCTGGGGAAGGAGGAAGATTGCGCAGGGCCGATGGTCAGAGAGCGCCTGCCACTGCAGGGCCGCCAACAAAAAAGGGATGTCAAGTTGGTCAACCGCCTTGCCGGTTGAGCCGACGAAGATGTGCACAGAGTCCAACCCCGTTCGCTTATGTCCAAGGTTTTGGCTCGACGCCGGATGCGGTGCATCAATTTCGGCTGGACCAGACAGGCTGATTGCGCCCCTTGACGTCCATTTGGGGTGTCCTGCAGACCCGACCCCCCACCCCCACTCGAGAGAAGGAGCAGGGAACAAGCGCGGAACCATATGCTGCCGTTGTGCTGGAGGAGGGGCTGCGTCGCTGGGTCGGCGGCCGCGCCATCCTGGTCCCCGAGCGGACTTTTTCGCTCGAGGGCGGTGGCCCCACTGCCCCGAGGTGTTGGACTGAGAGAGCGGGAGGACGAGGAGGGAGGAGGAGGAGGAGGAGGAGGAGGAGCAGGAGCAGGAACAGGAGCAGGAGGAGGAGCAGGAGGAGGAGCAGGCGGAGGAGCAGGAGGACGAGGTGGAGGAGGAAGAGGAGCAGGAGGAGGAGCAGGAGGAGCGAGGAGGAGGAGGAGGAGGAGGAGGAGGAGGAGGAGGAGCGAGGTGGAAGCACTGGGCTGTGAAGGCCTCTCGTTTCTCCCGGAGGAGGCAGGTCCCAAGGGCTCTGGGCCGTCTGCGGCCACGCCCCACGCCCGTCACCCTGGGGATGCGAAGCCGGTCCCAGGAGAGGCCCCAAGGGTCCAGGACCTGATTTCTCTCCAGGACTTGCCCCTCCCTCATGGGGGCAACGATAGGGAGGGGGGGATTCTCCCTTGATCTAGCATGCAGCTTGTCGATGCTAAGGTCCCTGCGTGATTTTTGTTGGCCTCGGTTCTCTTCGGTCGGCCCCTCCGCCGCTCGCGTCTGGTCTGGCCCTCGCTGCGTTTCGGTTTGGGGCCCTCGTCGGTCCCCTCGTCGCTGCGCGACGCTGCCTGGGACTCAGCGCCCGACCCTGCCCCACGTCCACCCACAACGCAAAGGGGGTGTACAGCTCGGAGGGGACCCACCCCTCGCCTATGTGGGGCCCCATGCGTCGCCGGTTCCCAAAGCCTCCTCGCCAGGGCCAGTCCCTCCGTGGCGACGACGACGACGACGATGGCGGCCTCCGCGGTTTCGGCGCCGACGTCGCCGACGTCCGCCCGCGAGGCCGACATCGAGAAGTTCAAGGCCGAGGCGGCGCGCCTGAAGGAGGAGGCCGACCTGCTCGACGGCGACATCGCCGCCTGGACGGGCGACGAGGCGGCCGCCACCAAGGCCTGCCCGCTGCCAAAGCGGGGGCCCCATCGTGGTCGTGGCAGTCGTCGTCGCCGTCGCCGTCGTCGTCGTCGTCATCGTCGTCATCGTCGTTGTCGTCGTCGTTGTCGTTGTCGTCGTCGTCGTCGTCGTTGTCGTTGTTGTCGTTGTTTTTGTCGTCGTCGTCGTGCTAGTCGGTGTCGTGGCAGTCGCTGTCGTCGTTGTCGTCGTCCTAGCTGGCGGCGTACAATCAAGGCTCCGAAACAAGTAGCAGTTCGGCCCTTCTGACTCCCTTCGGGTTAACACGGAATCGAGGAGGTCCAGAGCGGCAACCTGAGGAGGATGATCATGAGGACGACAAATCGCAGGGGAGGAGGAGGAGGAAGAGGAGGAGGAGGAGGAGGAGGAGGAGGAGGAGAAGGACGAGGAGGAGAAGGAGGAGAAGGAGAAGGAGGAGGAGGAGGAGCGAGGAGGAGGAGGAGGAGGAAGGCGGACGGATTGAGCAGGCCGAGAACCAAGATGGAAACGTAATCCCTAGTCAGCCGCTGCTCGATTCATCCTTCCTGCCTTCCCAGGTCGCTCAACGACGGGCCAAGAGGCCCCCAAGAGGACCCCAACACGGCCCACACCCTCATGTTCTGGAAAGCTTTCCATGAACATGATTGTCGTTGCCTGTCGAAGGAGGAGGGGGAGGAGGAAGAGGAGGCAGAGGAGGCAGAGGAGGCAGAGGAGGAAGAGGAGGAGGAGGCGGAGCAGCAGGAGGAGCAGGAGCAGGAATAGGAACAGGAGGAGGAGGGGAGGAGGAAAATGATGCCGGTGATGGCCGCGGAGGCGGAGGGCGAAGATGAGGATAACGAGGAGGAGGAGGAGGAGGAGGAGGAGGAGGAGGAGGGAAACGAGGAGGAGAAGGAGAAGGAGGAGGAGGGGGAGGAGAAACACAGCAAGAGGAGGCGGAGGATAGAGAAAGAAGGAACACAACAAGAGGAGGCGGATGATCCACTCATTGTTTCCTCTCTGCTTCCCTTCTTCTCTATCTTCCTCCTTTGCTTGCCCCCCACTCTCCATCCTTCCTACCTCCCGCGACCACCGCGAAGACGCCGACGGCGCCGTCGATGCCGACGATCCCATTCCCGCGTTCGTGGCCTCTGGCGTTGCACGCCTGCCACTGGGGTGGATGAGGATGGGATTGGTGAGGATGATGTTTTCTGTGGTCAGAACCTAAATGCGCGCGGGGTGCATGCAATCATACGTAAACATATACATCGGCCCGTGCAAGCGTACATAAACATGTAATGTATACACTTCCCGATACCTAAACATATCCATAAAGGCATACATTTTCGTATGCGTCTACAATTGGCATACGTATACACTTACACATGCATACACGCATACATCTGCAGACACATTTGCGGCCACATCTACATCTACACATGTATGTATGTGTTTATTTATGTGTGCGTCCACGGAGAACTCCGTGTGCGCCGTGCCGCGTGGGCGTCCCACGAGGCGTCGTCGACCTTCGACCCAGGCACGTCGCGGTGCATAGTTTGCAGTCCAAACGTGGCTCGGTGCATGGGTGCCGTTCTCGTGATACGACCCTGTCCGAGGGAGTTCGGTTCTGAGGGAATTCGTGCGTCTTTCCATGTTTTAATAAACTGGCCGTTCTGTTGGGGGGCATCTGCAAGAGTACGAAAACTGGTGGCGCCCGTCACGCAGATCGTGACACCACGTCCATCAACACAGCGTGCTTTCAAACAATGTACGATCTAGTCTTCAAGCACAGGTGGTTTCAATGATTAGCAAGGCGAGTCTTAGATCATTGCCGTGTCGCTCGGGATATACGCCCGCAATTGGTTTGTTGGCTAATAAGGAGCGCACTTCACGGGCGCCTGCCTTGGGAACATTCGGCGGCGCCCAAGCGCCCACAGAACGCGCCCTTTCTTTGTTGTGAAATTTGTTCGTGGGCCACATGTAGTTTGCCAGACACATCATTTCCGAAGGAGCCATGTATTGAACACGGCTTTCCTGTCGCAGCAGTCATCCTCCCAAAATCGAGCCTCGATCATCGGCAATGACCACCTCTTCACCGACTGCATGGGAACGGTCAAGTTCCGCGCAGTGCATCAGCCGCGCCCAGGGGCCCACCGCTGTCAATGCCCACCTGTGGGCGCGCGTGGTGGATGCTGCCCACGGGTGTCCGTCAAGCACAGCCTGGCCCACCGATAGGAGGCAGTTGTCGGGCGCAGCGAGCTCACCATGCTAGAGCTCCACGGCAAACTGCTGGCGGACAAGCGCGCCAAGGAGGGGGCCAAGCTCCGTGCGCCAGACAACGACCACATTCTCATGCTGGAGGGGTGCCGTGCCAGAATCCGAGACGCCGCTTTGCACGCTGAGGTGCACATTTCCAAGTCGGGCTTGCGTGACTCCTGGCCCCTGGAGGCGATCGACGACGCAGAGCCTGAGCCCTACACGATCCACGACAGGGGTCTCGGCCGTCGTTGCTGCTGGCGTGGTGGCGGTGGCGGCCGCGGCAGCTGCGGGAGCAGTAGCGGTTGGAGAGACGACTGGTGAAGCCAGCGTTTCAGACCCTGGTCGGAGGGGCGCCCGCAAGCGGCCTGCGGCTGCCGTGCCGTTGCCTTGCCCCGAGGGGGTGCCGCTGCCGCCTGAGGCCCGCCGTAGTTGCCCACGCCTCCGCCTCCTCATGCGCGGCCGCGGTGTCCCACCCCAGCGGAGCCGAGGCCACAGAGGGCCCCTGGACGGCCAATGCGCGGCAGCTCATGCAAACGCACGTGTTCGGACAGGAGTATGAAGTCATACCTGCGTTCGCGCATTGTTTCATGTATTTTTGGCAGCCGAGGTACGCGTGTCATGATCTCGCCAATCCCCGCTTTGAAGCTGAGGCTCGCTCCAAAGAGGGCTCGCGCCAGGCCCGCACAGAAATGATTGAGGGAGTGGTGCCAGGAGACGACAAATGGCAGCTCCGTGCGCTTGTGTCGCCTTCGGTGCAGATTCGCGTTCACCGGGCGGGCGCCTTCGGCGTCAGGGCAGGCCTCCAGTCTGGCAGGCTGGCGGTTGCCCCGGTCTTCGAGGAGGCACCCATGCCCAGCTGCTCCAGCCCGTGCCCGTCCTGCTGCCGCCGAGTCGTTCTCGTCGGGGCAGCAGGCGTTGGTTCTGCCAGGCGTCGACGGAGAGCGGGTGTCGCACGGTCTCGAAGTGCCCGCGGCGGCCGCAGAGAGACAGGCCGCAGGGCGAGCGCCGACAGGGCCGCAGGAGTTGCCACCGCGGCGCGGGCGAGGAGCGGCCCCTTGAATGTGTTTCCATGTTGCAGGCAAGTGCCTCCTCCTCCTCCTCCTGACCTCGGATGGGCACGCGGAGAGGTAAAAACATCGAGCCCCGACGCACCACAGACAGAACACGCAAGCACATACAGCTACATACGCACGTATGCATGTGTATATATACACATGCATGCAGATATCTGTATATCACACACAACACACCATACACACAACACACACACATGCATCTATTACATATCCACAGCATTGGATACGCACGCGCACACAACGCATATGTTTTGGTCCCGCGTCCTCGCGCGACAAAGGGCGGTCGATCCGCGCTGGGAGTTTCTACCAGTGTATCCAGAGCAGCATGTACACACGTGCGTATCTTCATGTTATGTTTACTATATGCACAATCTAATTCCCCACTGTTATATATATAGTTATGTGTGTATGCATGTGCATACGTATGTTTGTATGCTTGTATGTATGTATGTTTGTCTGTCTGTATGTATCTATGTATGTGTGTTTGTATGTATGTATGTATGTATGTATGTATGTATGTATGTATGTATGTATGTATGTATGTATGTGTGTATGCATGTATGTATGTATGTATGTATGTATGGATGTATGTATGTATGCATGCATGTATGTATGTATGTATGCAT